TTCTAATATTTACTATGATGTTAAGCAAGTGACTTTTTAAAAATTTTATTTATTTATTTGAGAGACAGGGAGCAAGAGAGAGTGATCACAAGCAGGGGGAGGGATAATGGGAGAGGGAGAAGCAGAGGGAGCAGACCCCCCGCTGAGCAGGGAGCCCTACAAGGGGCTCCATCCCAGGACTCTGGGATTATGACTTGAGCCAGAAGGAGATGCTTAACTGACTGGGCCACCCAGGCATCCCCACTTAACCTCTTTTGTGCCTGTGTTTCCCAAACTCTGAGGATAATATGAATATTTACTCTTAGCTTTTATTTTTAAACTTTTTTTAAGAATAGTTTTTAAAATTAAGTGAGATAGAGGTCACTTAATGAGACTCTTAATGATAAGAGAACAAATGGTAGATAGAGGGAAGGTGAGAGGGGAATGGACTAGATGGGTGATGGGGATAAGGAAGGCACATGTTATGATGAGCACTGGGTGTTTGTATGTGATGAATCACTCAATTCTCCTGAAACCAATATTGCCCTGTGTGTTAACTAACTAGAATTTAAACAAAAATTTGAAAAGAAATAAGAAAAGAAAAGAAAAGAAAATCCGAAAGGACAATACAGTTAAAGCAAAGTCTGTATTTACTCAAAAAAAAAAAAAAAACAAACCAAACAAACAAACAAACAAACAAAAAAAAAAACCCATGTATTAAGCGGACCACACAGTTCAAACCCACGTTGGCCAAGGGTCAACTGGAATACTGGAAATCCTAGCCAGACCAATCACACAAGAAAAATAAATAAATAAAAGACATCCAAATTGGAAAGGAAGAAATAAAGGTCACTATTTTCAGATGACATATTACATGTAAAAAACCCTAAAGACAACACCAAAAAACTATTAAAATAAATGAATTCAGTAAAGTTGCAGGATAAAAAGTACATAAAAATCTGTTGCATTTTTATACACTGATAAGAAACTATCAGAAAAATAAATTAAAAAAAAATCACATTCATAACTGCATCCAAAAACCCAAGATACTTAATGGAGATAAAATTTAACCAAGGAGGTGAAAGCCTATATACTGAAAACTACAAGACATTAAGAAAAGAAACTGAAGATAACACAAGTAAATGGAAAGACATTCCATGCTCATGGATTAGAATAATTCATAATGTTAAACTGTCTATACTACCCAAAGCCATCTAGAGATTCAATGCAATTTCTATCAAAATTCCAATGACCAAAAAAAAAAAATTCCAATGACATTTTTCACTAACATAAGACAGAGAACCTTTAAAGTTTGTATGGAACCACAAAAGACCGAATAGCCAAAGCAATCTTAAGAAAGAACAAAGCTGGAGGCATCATGCCCCCAGATTTCAAACAGATTTTCAAATTACAAAGCTATAGTGATTGCTGGCATACTGGCTTAACGATAGACATGCAGATCACCAGAACAGAAGAGAAAGCTCAGAAGTAAACCCACACATCTATGGTCCAGCATCTCATGACAAAGGAGCCAAGAATATACAAAGGGAAAAGAACAATCTCTTTAATAAACATTGCCGGGATAACCGGGCAGCCACATGCGAAAGAACGAAACCGCACCACGTGTCTTACATTATACACAAAAATTATCTCAAAATGGATTAAAGACTTGAATATAAGACCTGAAACCATAAAACTCTTAGCATAAAACATAAGGGAAAAGCTGCTTGACGTGGGTCCTGGTAATGATTTTTTTGGATCACACTCCAAAAGCCAAGGCAACAAAAGCAAAAATAAATAAGTGAAACTACATCAAACCAAAAAGCTCCTGCCCAGCAAGGAAAATCGCCAAAAAAAGAAACAGGCAACCTACCGCCTCTGAGAAAAGATTTGTAAAGCATGTATCTTATAAAAGATTAATATCCAATATATATAAAGAACTCATACAACTCAATTAACAACAAAAAACAATGTGATTAAAAAGTGGAAAGATTACCCAAATGGACATTATCCAGGGAAGACATACAGAGAACCAACAGGTACGTGAAACGATGTTCAACATCATTAATCATCAGGGAAATGTAAATCAAAACAACAATGAGATATCACTTCACACTGGTTAGAAGGGTTAGTATCAAAAAGAGGAGAAATCACAGATGTTAGCAAGGATGCGGAGGAAAGGGAACCCTGGTACAGGGTTGGTGGGGATGCAAGTAGGTGCAACCACTGTGGAAAACAATATGCAGGCTCCTTGAAAAATTAAAAATAGGACTACCCTATAATCCAGCAATTTCTCTTCTGGCCATTTATCCAAAGAAAACAAAAACACCTATTTGAAAATATATATGAACCCCCATGTTCATTGCAGCATTATTTATAATAGCTAAGATATGAAGACAACCTACATGTCTATGGAGGGATGAATCGATAAAGAAGATGTGAGGGGCACCTGGGTGGCTCAGTGGGTTAAAGCCTCTGCCTTCGGCTCCGGTCATGATCTCAGGGTCCTGGGATCGAGCCCCGAATCGGGCTCTCTGCTCAGCAGAGAGCCTGCTTCCCTTCCTCTCTCTCTGCCTGCCTCTCTGCCTACTTGCGATCTCTGTCTATCCAATAAATAAAAATCTTAAAAAAAAAAAAAAAAAAAGAAGAAGAAGATGTGATTTACAAATATAAAGTGAAATACTATTCAGCCATAATAAAGAACAAAATCGGCCGCCTGGGTGGCTCAGTGGGTTAAAGCCTCTGCCTTCAGCTCAGGTCATGGTCTCAGGGTCCTGGGATCAAGCTCCGCATCGGGCTCTCTGCTCAGGAGGGAGCCTGCTTCCCCCACTCTCTGCCTGCCTCTCTGCCTACTTGTGATCTCTCTTTGTCAAATAAATAAATAAAATAAAATAAAAAAAGAGAAAGAACAAAATCTTTCCATTCGCAACAACATGGATGGACCCTGAGGTCATGATGCTATGTGAAATAAGTCAAAGACAAATAGTGTGTGACATCACTTTTATATGGCATCTAAAAAAAACTGAGCTTAAAGATACAGGGGGATGGGTGTTAAATGGGTGACAGGGATCCAAAGGTACAAACATCCAGGGATTAAATAAGTAAGTCATAGGGTGTAATGTATAACATGGCGATTATAGTTAATAACACTGTATTGCAAACTCGGAAGTTGCTAAGAGAGTAATCTTAAAAGTTATCATAAGAAGAAAGTTTTGTAAAACAAAACTGTATTTAAACTGATAAGCCATACGCCATTGTTCAGGGGACTCAGAAAGTACACAGTACTGCAAAAATCTGTGCGGGAGGCTGCCCTCACGTTCCTCACAGAGGCTAAGGGAGAGCTTTGTAAACTGGTGAGTGCATACACAGAACAGCATGTAAGGTGCTGGGCTCCTCTCTACTTACAGCACTGGGCACTGCATCACACTTTGGGATACAGGAAGAAGCAGGGAGTTACTGGGGATACTGAAGAAGCTGAGGAAGAATAACAATGCAGGGTGTATGGAAAGTGCCTTACAGGTTTTCCAAATCTGTGGGCATGTTCCATTACACAGATATCTTTTAAGTTCCTACAAAGTCACTGCTGCTTTCTACTCAGGCTCAGTCGGCTGGGCAGCCAACTTCTTTAATTCATTGTTAACCTCTGAGTCATCCCTGTCTCTTGACCCTAATTCTGGGGGAGAGGAGAACATAAAATTGGTCTAATTTCTCTCCATTGGGATGGTCCTTCAGCTGCTGATCTGAATAACTAACAAATACTGTTACTTACTGCGTCCTTAAAGGACTGCAAATGAATAAAGACAACAATAATAACAAAAATAGGTAACATTCATTCCTCTGTGTTAGGCACTGTTCTAAGCCATAAGGTGCACAGCAAAGCATGGAGGCATGAGGGATTGGGATAAGCCCTAATAATGGAGAGCTTTGTAGCACCGTTCTGGAGCCGCAGAGACAAGGACTTGAAATCTGGTTCCAAACATTATCTGTGTCTCTAAGACTCAGCCCTCTCAGGATCCTAGCTGACCGAGATACTCAAACTAGTAAAGTGTGTAAAATGCTTAAGCCAGTGGCAGGCACACAGCAGCTCCTCAATTAACTAATGATAATCAAGAGGATGGTAATCACGTTGGTGTTCCTTCCCCAGCGCTAGCAATAATAATAACCAACTAGTATAATATTAATCCCATACGCTGGTACTACGCTTACCCCGCACCAGGCACCGTGGTTTATGCATTTACTTTCCAAATGGGTTACATTAACTAATTCACTAAATCGTCAAAACAAGCCTATATAGGTACTGTTTTCAGGTTCGTCTCTCAGATGAAAAAACTGAGACAGAAAGATTACATATCTTGCCCAAGGTCACGGAGATGCAAGTGCAATAAAAGGAACAACAACCTTTACTACAATTCAGTCTGTAATAAGCTGCTCCCTCCATTAAATCCGCACAATAACCCTAAGGGTTTGAGGTTCTGCCCACTTTACAGATGCCGAGACTGAGGCTCGGTCCCAGGGCCCAGCCCGCACTCACCCTGCCTCCCGGATGCGACGAAGCAGGATTCCGCAGTCCGCCTCAGGCTGGGCCTCCAGGTCCCGCAGGGCCACCTCCCTGCCCCGCTGTCGCCGCTCCGCAGACCGTCTTTTCCTTCGCGAAGCCGCAGCCTGCCAGGGTTCCAACGCTGCGGACGCCATGACCCTCTGACGTCACGGGCGCGCCTCCGGACGTCATCCACACGCGCCAGCGCTGGGAAAATCTAGGGGGCGGTAGGCGCTGGAGGCGCGTGATCCTGAGGCTTCCCCACCGCGCGCCCGTAGGTAGGGTGGGGAGAGCAGCTGGCGCGGGGCTACCGCCCACACTGCAGGTCCGATCGCGGAGCCCGGGGCTGCCGGGCTACAGGGCTGGGTTGGGTGGATGGCCGGCGAGGGGATACCAAGGGGCGGGACCCTGGCCGATAGCGCCTCTTGGCGGCCCCTCCGCGCTCCGATTGCGTCTCTTGGCGGCCCCTCCGCGCTCCGATTGGGCCCCGATTGACCCCTGTGCCTTTGTCCACAAATGCCCAGGCCACCCCCGGAGCTGAGGCCAGACACTTCAGGTGCCTTTAGCCCGTTCCCCATCGCAGTGGTTACCGCCCGTTTTCCTGGCCGGCTGACTCACTGAGACCACTTCATACACCGCCACCTTGCTGCCTCCAAGCCATTTCTGGCCACTTTTTGGCTCCCTCGGGTACTTAACTGCAACCCCTGGCTGCCGGAGCCTTCTCTGGTCATATCCCAGCACTTGCCCTACCCTATGGACATTACTGGCCTTTTCTGGATCTTTCAGAGATAAGAGCATGGACCTTGGCAGTATAGGGCCCAGTCCTCTGGGAAGGACGGACAGGGGGTTTCAGGCTGCTGTCCTCAAGATACCTAAAGTTGAGAAAAGAGATTCACAAGCCTCAAAGAGTCAGTGGGGTCCTCTCTAGGTACTTCTCTCTAGGAAAGGAGCTTTAAAAAGCTATTGTATTCCCAGGAGGTTGACAGAAGGTGAGCATGCATTTGAAACCCTGTCTCTGGGACGTCAAGCTTGGGCAAAATCATATTAGAAATACAGTTCTGGAGGGACCAAGGAATGCTCTTGTGGAAAAATTAAACCCTGTTTTGTTTTCCTGGAGTGTTATCCAGATCAGCATGGGGAGGTTACTGGGAGGCCAGTTTTCGATAAAGTTAACACTATGAGCTGCCTCTGGCTCTGATGGGAATAAGCCAGAGACCAGGCAGTCTTTGAAGAGTGCAAGAAATAAGTATTCGAGTAAATGATGCCAGGATCCCTTCTGACGGTGAAATCCCATGATACTTAATCGTCTGTTCTCTTGGAATTTGAAAGTCACTTGTTAAACTCCTATTTAGTTTTGAAAACTTGCCCAGCTGTGGAATTCATGTTCAGATCACTTTTGAGCTGTCAAGGTGACAGTTCCTTAATTTGGGTTCCATTATTACTGCAACAACTGCCTTATTTGTATAGCTGTCCTTGGCACACCGAGCTTTTTCACACTAGCTCTTTAATTTTATCTTCTCTGAGGCAGAATCTTCTGTTCAAAGAGACTGAGCAATTTGTTTTGAAGTCCTGCAGCACTCTCTTCTTTGTTCTGAAAGACAATTTTTCAGCTTTCTAGAAGACTCCTTGTGAAGTATACCCTTTGCCTAACCCTGCTGGGTCACATGCTCTCTCATGGGTTTCTGAAATCATCTATTCCTTGTGGTTTATTTTAGGACCAAGGCACTGATGTTTGATCGGGAAGCTTTACAACATTAAATAGAATCTTCAGAATGGCTTTGAACTCGACAAGCTAGAAATCCCTTCAGAACACCACCTTCAGTATGCATCTCCCCCAGTGGGCTTTCCTGGCCAGGAACTTTTTGCAGAGGTTGTGCTGCAGAGCGCCAGAATGCTGATGCCCATGGAACCAGCTTAGTGGATTTGACTTTTCTGGTAGAATTCTCTTGCTGTATTATATACTCTCTCCCAGAGTTCTAAGAAGTGTGGAGGTATTCATGGCACTGAAGAGCCTGTGGGGAAGGAAGTAGCACTTTCATGCTGAATGAAAACCAAGCAGGTGATATTTGTGGCTGAAAACATTTAAACCTTTCACGTCTGCATTTCCTGGATCGGGGACACGGAGGAACAGTCGCTGCTGGGGCACAAGAAGCGATCCCAGACAAGAAAACCCAAATAAATAGAATGAGGGCAACAGGCAAGTAAATGGCCACCACTACCTCAACAGAGCCGACATCAGCCTCCTGGTGAGTAGAAAGGCCTGTGTGGCTGACTTCCTGCCAGGCTGCTGGACCCATGTTTTGGATTAACAGAAAATCCCCAGCCTGTCTTGATTTCATTAAGGGGGGTGGAGGGTGGGGAAAGGCATTTTTTTCTCCGAGCAGGCGGATCCAGCATGTGAGCATTTCTTTCCAGAGCTGCCGGGTTGTGACCTTGCAGTGCTAGAGTGAGTCGAGCATGGCTGGTAGACCGGAAAAGATGGCCATGGCTGGTTAATACAGCCGGTTTTGATGACGGTGTGGGCGCTGTAGGCTTCATCGGTAAGAGATAAGAAATGGCTACAGTGTGGAGCCTCACCACTAGAAGAGGTTTGGCCAGTCCGTCTCTTACATAATGTCTTCCTGAAACTTAGTTCCCTTCTCGACCCCAGCTGGGTTAGGTGTCTCTTGTCAATTGCTTCAGCAAACATTCATTGAGGAATGAAAGCCAAAGGCATGGTTTAAATAGAATGAGCAGGTCTCGGTGAGGGTTGGTTATGTGTGTGGAAGGCACAAAGAGGGAGTCATTCAGAATGACACCCCGGTTTTCTTTTGTGTGCCTGAGCGAGGATGCTTTCACCCAGAAAATGTAAGAAGCAGGTAAACGGGGCCCAGCCGTGGAGTTTCTGAATGGGGTTTGACACATTTTTGAGGCTTTTTGATCTGGACTTGTCCTGCACTAGAAACAGAGTTCTCACTGGTCATCTGGAAGAGAAGGTGGGAGCCAGGCAGGGTGGTAGGGGGAGGGTGTAGATCCAGGGAGAAGAAGGAGGGTGACAGAGTGGTCACAGCTCTTCCTTCTTAACGCTCTAGCCTGATGGGTGTGCTTTTGGAGAGGTAAAACCCAGGCCTGGCCTTTGGGGAGTCTGTTTTGTGGTCTTAAGTTAATTGTGGCTTTGCTGTAGAGTAGACTAAGAGTCCTTTGCGAAGAATGGAGGGTTATAGAAATTGAGAATAGAGATGCCTTTGCATGGAGGAAATCAGAAGTTTGATGAAGGGTCGTGTCAGAGTTCCTCTTAACATAGTGTTAGGGTTTTGCCAGGCAGAGAGGGGTTCAGGGCTCTGCTGTGAACTCTCGGGAGCCCCATTTTCCCATCATAGACTCCCTATCCTACATTGAAACTGTATGTTTACTGTCTCCCTTTGACCACCACAGCCCCAGGTCTGGCAGAGGGAGAGCACACTGTCGGGCCTCATTTACTGTTTGTTAAATGAACTCATGAATTTCTGGCCCAAGGGATATTTCCGGAGGTCATCGTGCCCACCAGCTGTGAAGCAGGCAGCAAAGACACCCCTGTTTTATTATCAGAGCCTTTAGAGACAGCATACCAAACCCTGGTTGTATGGTTAAGGGTCTGTGTCCCAAACAAGAGAGGGCCCTGGGTGATCTGTCTCCTCCATCTACTCTTCAGTCTTTTTGGCCAAACGGCCTGACAGCTGGATAGAGGCATATTTTTAGTTTGACTGGATGGCCCCTGTGAAATGGTTTTTCTTATCTGTTTGTAGCTGCTGGGTTCTTTCTCCTCTGGGGCCACCAGAAGGGTTCTCAAATACAGAGTAATGAGCCCATCTTGCGCTGGGAAAGAGGAAACTGTGTTTTAAAATGCCTTGATCCCTGGATGAAAGGAAACATGGCTCTGTTCTGTTCTCTTGCCAGGTGGAATTATTTCTTCCTGTATGATGGTTCAAAGGTAAAGGAAGAAGGAGATCCGACAAGAGCTGGCATTTGTTATTTCTACCCTCCTCAGGTAAGCACCCCAGCGGGTTACTCCCTGGGGAGTTGGGGGCGGAGGGGGGGTCCTACTGCCTCAGAGTGGAAGCTTTGCAAAAGTATAGCATTGACAGTGGGACAGTGTTCTTCACATCACCCAGGCTTTGACATTTCTACTCTCTTTTCCTTAGTTGTACTATTTCTTGCTGTTCTGGTCTTGAAAGTCCCAGACAGCTCACCCCTTCCATCCTCTCTAGCTCTCTGCTACTATCCTGATTTTCTTTCCGCCTCCCCTTGCTCCCAGGTTTTGATCCTGGATCCAGGTTTTAGCTCCTTGGAAATGCTTTTTAAAATTTTTAAACTTTTTAAATTAATGTTTTTTTGAAGCACTTTTTTAAAGAAGAGATTTATTTATTGGAGAGAGAGAGAGAGAGAGAGAGAGTGTGTGTGTGTGTGTGTGTGTGCGCGCGCGCGCGCTGGGGGGCAGAGAGCAAGAGAGAGAATCTCAAGCAGACTCTCTGGTGAGCTTAGAGCCCAGGTCAGGGCTCTGTTCCACAATCCTGAGATCCTGACCTGAGCTGAAACCAAGAGTCAGATGCTCAACTGACTTCAGCCACCCAATAATAAATAAAATTGTTTTATAATAAGCCCCTAAAACAATTTTATTCAAATGTCTGCAAAAGCAGAGAGGAGAGTATCACGAACCCTCACGAACCCATTAATTAGTAACAATAATTCCTTAATATCATATGATACTATCTGTATTCAAATTTTGCCTTCCTATCTTAGAGATTACTTAATCAGACCTTGCTCCTTCCGTTCCTCCCGCCCTCCCTCCTTACCTCCCCCCCTCCACTTGCTAGTCAGGATCCAAACAAATTCTACACATTCCATTTGCTTCTTTTCTTCAGTTTCTTTTGTCACATACCACTTCTCACCCTCTCCTCAGCCCCTTTCCCCACCACCCCTCTGAATTACCAAAGTCTGCGCCTTTGTGCAGCAGAATGTCAGAAGGCCCCACGCTCTGGATGGGCCTGGTCACTTCCTCAAGGCAGTGTCATTTCAGATCTTCCCCTGTAGTTCCTTTACACTAGTAGTATGATCTAGAGCCTTGATTAAGTTCAAGTCCAGTTCTTTTAAGCAAAACTCTTTCATCGGGGCGTGTACATTTTCTGTTGCACTACACGATGTGTGGCTGCCCTGCAGGGTGGTTAAGGCTCAGACTGATCAGGAGGTCTAGGTATTTGCTCACTTGACTTCCCTCCCAGTTGGGTAGTTGGGGTAAATCTAGGCCACTCTACAGGGGATCTGAATAGGGACCAACGGCTCCTGCTTCTACCCACACAGGGGCCTCTAGTCCTAGGAACAAAAACCTAGTTCCGCACAGACCTCTTGTGCATGTGGCTGTGGACGTTCCGTGGCAGTTCTGACCTTCCGAGCAGAGGGCCGCAGATTCTGTCCTGTCCAACAAGGGCCCAGGAGTGAATACTGAGGCCTTGCCAGACATGGAAGGTCAACATCACATGTCCTTCTTTGTTGTTGCTACTGCCCTTAAATACAAAACCAACACTTAGCTCCCTGGCCATCTGCAACCAGGCAGCAGAGCAGATCCGGTCTGCCGGCTGCAGTCTGCCGTGGCCTCAGCCCCTGTTCAGAGGGATGCCTTATGAGTTCGACAGTTTTGGCTCACCTCCCTGGACTTTGCCTCTTCCCCACAGACCCTGCTCGACCAGCAGGAGTTGCTCTGTGGACAGATTGCGGGTGTCGTGCGCTGTGTTTCGGACATATCCTCCTCTGCCCCAACCCTCGTCCATCTGCGGAAGCTGAAGTTTGCCATAAAGGTGGACGGAGAGTACCTTTGGGTAAGTTGATTGGACAGAACCTGTGCTGCCAGGGTCGCCTCTACTGTGAGTCATCTGTCTTGGTCATGAGTGCTGTGTTGCCAAGGTGCTCTGGAGCCTGGGACACCGCCCCCCCCACCCCGCCGCACCCCTAGGGGCCACATGCCGTACTATCCACGCTTCCTTGGTTCCTCTCTGCAGGTGCCACCATAACCAATTGCTCTCCAGAACATTCCTAACCTGCCCTGCATTGCACATGGCTGCTTTCTCGTTGCTTTTGAGAGATTTCAGACAGCCTGAGGAAATTCTCTCTGCTCTGTGATGCAGGTCAAATTTTCAACCTCTGTCTTTTCTCCTCTGTATTCTCCACGCTTACAGGGCAGTGACCCAGAAACTCACAGATATTGATATGTAGATGTTAGGTTTCAAAGAACCATTAAAAAAAAAAATTAAAAAACCATTTCTTGACATCTGATGGTACCATATACACTAGGGTCTTCTTGTCCCATGCCTACACTTATTTAAAACTGATTTGGGAGGGGAAAGAATGCTTAAGTGTGAAGTGGCATATTCAGCTCTGTGGGTATACCTGCTAACATTTTACGATGACCTTTTTTTCTCATATCAAACCGTTGAAGGAATTTTACAGTCAACACTCACATAGACTTCCTAGGTTCTGCAGTTACCATTTTATTACATATATTACTTATTGTAGTCACTTTATCACATTTCCCCATCCAGCCCTTCATCTTCAGCGCTCGCCAAAATTACACACACTAGTATACACCCCCTCCCCACCCCCAGTACCGCATGGCGCATAACATTAATTAGAGTTCAGTAGTGGTTTGTGCTTTTTTTTTTTCTCTTGGAGTAAGAGTTACATACACTGAAACACAAATCTTGAGCATACCATTTAATGCATATGGACAAATAACACTCCATGCGACACAGAGCCCCATCGAGATGCTGAATATTAGTATCACTCTGGGCAGCTCCCTGATGTCCCATTAATTCTCACCCTTGAGACCCAGGCAGCCATCGTTCTGATTTTTTCCCACACGCAGATGAGTTTTGCCCGTTCTAGAAGTCACAGTATGTGTAGTGTTCCTTTCCGCGGGCTTCTGTCATGTGTGTGACCTCATGGGGCATGTATCCGCAGGTCATTCCTTTTCATTGTTCGGCAGCACCGTCTGAATGTCCATTGTCTGGACCTAGCAGTCTACTGACTTACCTATTTCTGGGTCCATGACCCGTGTCTAGTTAGGAGCAGTTAAGAATAAGGCCCCTAGGAGCATTCCTAGATGAGTCTTGTTGTGGATATGACTTTTCATTTCTTGTGGGTAAATAGCTAGGTATAGATTTGCAAGGTTACAGGGTGGGTGTATGTTCATTTTATAAGAAACTGCCAGACCTTTTCCCAAAGTGGTTGTACTATTTTGCACTCCTACCAGCCATGTGTGAGAATTCTAGTTCTTCCACGTCCTTGTCAACACATGCTGTCCGTCTGTTCAGTTGGAGCCGTTCTGCTGGGCGTGTAGTGATACCGCACTGTGGTTTGCATTTTCATTTCCCTAATGACTAAGGATATTAATGGCCACTGGTCTCTCTTCTAGAAGTGTCTGTCCAAAGATTTTCTGCCCATTTTTTTTTTTTAGATTTTTTATTTATTTATTTGACAGACGGAAATCAGAAGTAGGCAGAGAGGCAGGCAGAGAGGCAGGCAGAGAGAGAGGAGGAAGCAGTCTCCCCGCTGAGCAGAGAGTCCGATGCGGGGCTCGATCCCAGGACCCTGGGATCATGACCTGAGCCGAAGGCAGAGGCTTTAACCCACTGAGCCACCCAGGTGCCCCTTTTCTGCCCATTTTTTTTTTTTAAAGATTTTATTTATTTATTTGACAGAGAGAGATCACAAGTAGACAGAGAGGCAGGCAGAGAGAGAGAGAGAGGGAAGCAGGCTCCCTGCCAAGCAGAGAGCCCGATGTGGGACTCGATCCCAGGACCCTGAGATCATGACCTGAGCCGAAGGCAGCGGCTTAACCCACTGAGCCACCCAGGCGCCCCATGCCCATTTTTAAAATTAGGTTTTCTTCCTTTACTTAGTCTTGTGAGTTCTTTCTATATCCTGGATGTCAACTATTTCTCAGATATATATTTTAATTTTTTTTAATGATTTTGTTTATTCATTTGAGAGAGACAGAGACAGAGAGAGCACAAGCAGGGGGAGAGGCCGAGGGAGAGGGAGAAGCAGACTCCCTGCTGAGCTGGGAGCCCAACATGGGGCTTGATCCCAGGACCTGGACAGCATGACCTGAGCCAAAGGCAAATGCTTAACCATCTAAGCCACCCAGGTGCCCTTGTCAGATATATATTTTAAAGGTATTTTCTCCCAGTTTGTGGCATGCCTGTTTTCTTAATGATGTCTTTTAATGAACAGAATGTCTTAATTTTTTTCTAAGTTTACTTATTTATTTACTTAAGTAATCTCTACACCCTACGTGGGGCTCAAACTCATGACCTGGAGATCAAGAGTCGCGTTTACCCCCAGAATTTTTTATTTTTAATGAAGTCTAACTTGCCAGTTTTATCCTTCACAGTTACTGCCCTCTGTATCCTGTCTGAAATCATTCCCTACCCTGTTGGAGAAGACATTCTCCCATTTTTTGGGCAAGCTTTATAGTTTTAGCTTTTAAACTTAGGTCTGTAACCCAGCTTGGATTAAAATTTATGCTTGATTTGAAATAAAGGTCAAAGGTCCTCTTTTTCCCTATGGATATCCAGTGGCTCCAGCATCATGGTTGAGAAAACTCTCCTGCTTGGATTCCTTTAGCTCCTTTGCTGATGATCAGGTGACCATTGCAGTAGGGGGTCTGTTTCTGGGCTCCCTTCTTTTCTGTCTATCTCTTGGAAGATCCCGTATAAGTCCTCACTGTCTTGAAACCAGATCGTCTAAGTCCCCCAGCTTTGTGCTCTTCCAAGACAACTTTGGATATTTTAGGTCCTTTGTAAGTCTCTCTTGTAGAGTCAGTGTGTCAGTTTCTGAGGAAACGCTGGCAGATTATGGTGAGAGTTACATTCAGTCTACAGATTAATCAGGGGAGAGGTGAGCCCTGACCACGTGCCAGTTGTAAACCCTTGGATTACATCAGTGAACAAAACAGAGATCTTGGTCCTGGTGGAACTTCCATTCCGAGGGAATTTATTTATTTGTTTTCTGCCAGGGTTTCTTTGTTGCTTTAAGTTTCTGGCGATTCCCTCAGGAAAGATTCCTAGAGGTGGAATCATGGAGTCAAAGAAAACAGACTTTATTCAGGCTCTTAAAACATACAGCCAGATTCCTTGCAGACTGAGCACATGTTTCTCTTCTGTGGAACTCAGCCCCACAAAAGCGTTCCAAGGCTCTAGAATGGTGTGATGATTCAGCCAGTTCCCTTCTCGAAGCTTCCAGGCTTGGACTCAAAGCAAAGGAAAATGCCCATCTTCTGGTTTCCCTCTTTCCAGGTCCTGGGCTGTGCCGTGGAACTCCCTGACATTAGCTGCAAACAGTTTCTGGATCAGCTTATTGGAGTCTTCAACTTTTACAATGGACCCGTTTCTCTGGCTTACAAGGTATGGAGATAGTGGTGAGGAGTCTTCAGCAAATCCCATGTTGCCAGAACACAACATGATTCTATGAGCTGTTGTAATGCTTGGCGTAAATACAGCATGTCCAGCAACAAGATCAAGGGGCCTTGAAGTCCCTCTCAGATGCCTTTGTTCCCCAGTGGTGTAGGTCACGTCCATTGCAAATGTCTGTTCCCATGTCCTCCTCCCTGGGACTGTTGGAAAAGCAGGTTACCTCTGGCCCCAGCACGTGCGCTGGGTCTGTGGTGGCTGAGTTCTCAGCGGGGGCAGGGGGTGGGGGTCTCGTGTACATAGGAGGTTTAAAGTAGGCCCTGTCTTCTGGCCAGTGTCCCGGGTGAGGAACGAGTTTTGTAGGCATAGGGAGCCTGGCCGAGGGGTGTGTCTCATGGGATCTCAGACACTGACATCAGGCGGTTCCCGTTTTAGAACCACTCTCAGGAAGACCTACGCGCCGAATGGGATACCTTCATTGAACAGATTCTGAGGAACACCAGCGATCTGCACAAGATATTCTGTTCCCTCTGGAACCTGGACCAGACTCAGGTAACACCCTCATCCCCTGTACGTATTCCATGTAGAGGAGTAGAGCCCACTTGCCTGACCCACAGACTGCTATCAGAGAGCCCACAACTGTTTACATGGTGCTTAACATGGCATGAAGTCAATAGTCCGTAGAGGGTAGTGTTATTTCGCTAGTGTCCCAGGAGTGTGGAACTCGGGCATCTGAAGGTCCCTGTCTCTCTTGATAAGGATATTCCACGATTGCCTTGTGTTCTCAACATCAAAAATGCCCGGTGGTACCATTTTAAAAACAAGGTCTCTCTGTGTCCGGGAGAGAGTGCTTGGGAGCGTTTTGTTGCAGAGCCGTTCCATAGGCCACTGGCGTTCAGTGATGCGTAGACTGCTTGTGTGGCTGGTCTGACCCCCCACACTGCCTGTTGCTCAGTGGCCTTGATCTCGGTGAACAGCACATCGTCATTGTCAAGGGCCAAAGAGAGATGCCAGGCTGTGCCCCTTAAGAACCGACTGCCTGTGCCCCCAGCACCCCAGGAGGTGCGTGGGCCGCATCTCACTGCAGTAGCTAAGAGGGTCCTTTCAACAGGGATGTGGCGTCGTGACTCTGCCTTCACAGAGCCCGACTCCGGCTAGAAATGGGGGCGGGTTTTCCTGGCTCCTGTTGGGGAAGTGTTCAAAGTGGGCCCCAGAGCGCCACAGAATGGCTGGCTGGGACCGGGCACTGTCTCGAGGATGTGAGAGAGGAGCGTAAGCTCCAAAGCTGGCTTCGCTGGCACGGAGCTCTGACGGTGATGGTGCAAGTTCTGGCTGCTGCAGTAAATAGGAAGGAGGCTGCTGGCAACTCTTGACCAGGTCCAGATCCTTCTCTGGTATTTTTAGGAACTTGTAGGTAACAGACTCCTTACAAGGATCTTGGAGCAGAGGAATCTTTCTCTGAGTGAGAGACCGTGATGTTTTCATTTGCTGTTAAGGGACAGAGTCATGAGGTCACACGAAGTGTGCTCTATGGCAGTGGGGTTTAGGCTTCAGACGGAGGGGAGCGGCGGACGGGGAGGGTTGTGTTTGAGGGATAGGCTCTCCTGTCCTCTGCCTCGTGGTCTCAGCATCGAGTCAGGGTCTCCTGAGCGGAGACCTACCTTTCTCCCTGTGAGTGGCCATGGGCCCTGTTTGCCGCACCTTCCTGCATCGGCAGAAGCCGCCCCGTTCCAAGAACTTGGCATTTTGCATCTTCCACAGCTCTGGGCGGAAAGAGGTGGAATGCAGACCCAAGACGTGACACAGATCTTACCACATGTCACCTTCTGCTTTTTCCCCATTTTGGCTTAGGACCTGCGCCTCTGTTCCATAAAGGCCCCCTCACCCCCACGCCTTTCCACCTTGGCTGATGGCAAGTATGCTCACTCGGGGCTGTGCTTCTCCCCTCGCACAGGTGGAGCCCCTGTTGTTGCTGAAGGCGGCGCTCATCCTGCAGACCTGCCAGCGCTCACCTCACATTCTCGCCGGCTGCGTCCTCTATAAGGGACTGTGAGTGATGCCAGAGCCCTCTCCTGCACCCCGTGCCCCTGCTGCAGGACCCTCCCAGCCACCTCTAGGTCACAGCGCAGGGTGGGAAGGGGAAGCTCTGTCTCTGGCCAGTTCCAAGAGGGCTGTTTTGGCAAAGAGCAGGTAGTTTCAATTTGACCTAGGGGACATATATGTGTTTTAGCAGAGCCGGGAAATGGGCAGTTGTGTTCAGAAGAGGGTTAGGAATATAAAAGGCAGCTGTAGAGAGACCTACGGAAGTCTTAGCATGGGGTACCCCTGGGTGGCCAGCGGCCAGCGCTGTAGGCAAAGGGGTGTGGACGCCTGCTGTGTGTGCCTCCTCCCACTGCACTTGCTGCAGCCACCTTGCCTAGCAGCAGAACGGCCTTACCTGCTTCTGCTCAGGCTCCTGCCGGCCTACCGGCTGGGTCTGTCTCTTGCTTGCCTCTGAGGTCTCAGCACACCTCTTTGTGTAGTTGGAGGGCATCAGAAAAGCCCCTCCGTGCATGGTTCAAGGCGGCGCTCCTCATGGGGTCTGCTTACTGCTTGTGTCCAGAGCTTTCTGACAACTAGATGAATGTGTGATTGGAGAAGTTCTGGGGGCCTGATGGGCTGGGTTTTCAGTCCTGGCCTCGCTTTCCCGGCCCTGTGACCCCGGGCAGGTTGCTTGCTGAGTTTTCTCTACCAGGAAAGAATGAAATGAGAGGGCAGACCTAGAAGGACCTAGCCCAGGTCCTGCTTCCCAGTGGCCCTTGGCACAGTGCACCATCATTCCTTTCCCCTTTGCTCACGATGATGGTTCTGAACCTGCGGGTGGTGCCTCCAGGCTCACCGGTGGCATGGCTTCAGGCATATTTTCCTCATGTCACATTCCTTACATGGTTGTTTTGTTCTTTTTTTTGTTTGTTTGTTTTTTTTTTTTTTTTTTTTTTTTTTGTTTTGTTCTTTTTTAAGATGTATTTATTTATTTGACAGAGATCACAAGTAGGCAAGAAGGAAGCAGACTTCTTGCTGAGCAGAGAGTCCGACGCGGGGCTCCATCCCAGGACCCTGGGATCATAACCTGAGCCGAAGGCAGAGGCGTTAACCCACTGAGCCACCCAGGCACCCCTCCTTACATAGTTTTAAATCATACACCTAACGTATGAACAGAGCCTCCTTGTGGGAAAAAAAAAAAAAAAGAAAAGAAAAGAATCAAGATAGAAACACACGGAGCACAGTTTCCAAGTTTCTCTGAGCCCAGAGCCCCGTCAGCAGGTGGATGGGCATCCTCTCTTTTCCCGGTGTTTCCAGCACATCAGCGGACATTGCTTCTGTTTATTTTTGCCACATCCATAAATGGGATCCTAGGGCTCTTCAGTGTGTCGCACAGAGATTTCTCTATCAGCCCATGCTGGTCTACTTTATTCTTAGAATCGCCACACACCTTTGGTGTTACAGCTGTGCCATGATTTCCTCAACTACTCTCTAGTCGATGGACATTTAGCGATTTCCCCATTTTTGTAGTAATTTTGCCATTTTTTCTATAGTCAGTATTCTTCATCATGCATCTTGGTACAAGGCAGGTCAGAGGATTTGGACATTTTGAAGTTCAGTAGGAATGGCCAGAGTACCCTTCATAAAGGGCTTTGCCAGTTGAAACTCCCCAAGATCTTTTTTTTTTTTTAATATTCTATTTATTTATTTGAGAGGGAGAACTGAGCAGGGAACATGACATGGGGTTCACATAAATCTGTCGCGGCGGAATGTGCATGCGTTCCACACCAGAGCTGGGGCAGTTGCGGGGATATGGTGACAGATGCGTTCTCCGGAGGCGTAAAAGGGTAACAGGAATCCTCACTTTCCTTCCCAGAGGAGGGAAACAGCAATTAGAGCGTGAAGCCTGATGCGCATTGGTGGGGGGGTGGCTGCTGCCTGTGCAGGACGCAGGTTCTCGCCTGACCCCGGCCGTGGTGGTGAGCAAGCAGCTTGAGGCAGCTTCTGTTCCATCTGCTTGGCTGCTGGCATGCGGTGGGGGCCAGCACGCTGGGCCTGGCTGCGTTTCACGAACAGATGGCACAGCGCAGTCCTGATGATCGGGTCGGGAGGAGAAAGCGGTCCCCGGCGCCAACTTCTGTGTGTGTTTATTTGCAGAGAAGACCTGCAGGAGGGGGCGGCCCACAGGAACGGGGTGAGTGGCAAGGTGTCTCAAAGCATCTTGAGAACGGGGTCTTCTCTGCTGCCTGTCCCCTACACAAGTCACAGGAGAGGCCACGCAGTCCCATGGGTTAGCTCATCTGTTCATAGATTAGGAGAACAGTTGAGAACTTTAAGAACGAAGTTAGCCGTCCGAGAATCCTGATCATAAGGCTCATGATTTTAGGCGTACCTTTTAAATCCCTGTTTTCAGATGCTCCCTCATTCATTGTTATGATCCTGGTTAGGAGGGACTAAGATAAATGGCAGCGGCCACAAAGACCTTCTGCGGGATGTGGAGGTGTCCCCGAGAGGGTTACTTTGTTTTATTTTGAAGCCCAAGTTAGGGCAGATCCCTATTGTCAGTTGGAAGTGCTTTCTTACAGCTTTGATCTGTTTTTTTGTTTTTTGTTTTTGTTTTTTTTTAAGTGCTGCTAGATTTTCTTCCCCCCAAAGTCACCTTTCTCCACGGCAAGAAGTAAAGCTGCCCATGAGGGGTCCTTCCTCGCTGGGCACGAAAACTGTAGCTGCAGTTTTGTGTATTTTGTTCTGGGCTGAGGAGTGTGTCAGAGTGCTGTTCTCTGAGTTGGCGTTGGGTTGGCTACATCCCCCCAAGAGCGGTGACTCCCCTTCCATCTTCTCTGGCCCAGAGCTGAGCCCTGTCTGTGTTGCTTTGTGATTCTAGGAGCAGCACTCCCCCCGAATGTCCAGATCGTGCCTGTGTTCCTGACCAAAGAGGAGGCCACCAGTCTCCATGAATTCCCGAGGGAGCAGTCAGCCAGGTACCAGAGCGGCCGGGGTTCCTCATGGACTGTAATGGAGGGACTCCCTCCCATGGGTGTGTCCACACAAGCCCCCAGACAGCCCAGCCTTCCATATGCCATCTTCTCCACGCTCTGCCATGACAGGGGCATCTGGGACTTGAGCATGTAGATAACAGGCGGCTGGTATCGTGACATGGGTGTGGGTTTCAGGTTCCAGATCTGTCGCACATCAGCTGTGTGACCTTGGGCAAGTCCGTTCCCTGCCAGAGCCTTAGGGTTTTCATCTGTAGACCCCATGATAAACCTACTTCATGGGCTCAGTGTCACAATTGGAAATAGTATACGTATAGCCTCCAGTCCAGGGCCTAACTCAGAGCGGACTTGCACATGGGGGAGGCCGTCTCTCACACTCTGGGCCCTGCTGTCTCCAGCAGGTGATCTGGTAGCACCGTGTGAAGCTCTGAGGGCCAGACGGTGCCTTCCTTTTACTCCTGTGGTTTGACCACCAAGGCGTCTTCGGCTCTGTGGCCTCGGGCACCCACTTGTCAGCAGCGGCCCTGCTTTTTATGGAAGCAGAGCTTTAGTATTCTCCGGGGAAGGGCACCTGCCTTGTGTTTGGCCAGGCGCCCCTCCTTCATGTCTGCCTTGTTGCCAGCCCTGCTGCAGCACCAGCCAGACTCCAGGGGCGCCCAGCCCGGCAGCCTCCACGCCCTCAGAGCACCGTTGCCCCGACAGACAAGACCACTGGCCACATGGAAGCCATGGCCTGGATGCTGGCAGCCACTCCTGAGTCTGCGTGTCCTGATGGAGCCTGGCCAGATGGCAGCGGGGAGAACGGGCACTTGCCTGGCCATGATCTGGAGGACGTCAGGCCTGCAAACCTGCACAGCCCTGCCAGGGACAAGGGTCCCGGTCTTGGCTGCTCCCTGGCAAAGGAATTTCATCTTACCTGGGGGGAGGAGGAACCAGACTTGTCTGCCATACACATTCCAGAAGCTCAGGAAACAGGAGCATCCTCGGGTTATTTTGCCCTCCCAAGTATGGGTGCCCCAGACGGTGGTGGTCCTTGCTTTGAGGAATTTGTCAGCATCTCTGGCGACCGGGAACCAGAGCCACCTGATGCCCTGCCTGTGGTCATGGCCTTCAGCAGCCTCCTCCCTCCATCCACTCCTGAGATGCTCAGCCAGAACGGAGCCCTGAAACAGCACGATGACCTCCCAGAGGACAGCAGCCAAGCCCCCTTTCCCAGGGAAGACCACCTGTCCAGAAGGACGAGCAGGCCTCGGTCTTGGCCTTGCTCAGACTTGAGGCAGAGAGGAACCATGCTGCCCATGAGGGGACAGGGCCTGGAGTGTGTTGGGGTTCACGACAGCTGCTCAGTACCCAGCAGCTCAGACTTGGCAGAGTCTCAGGATGACAGCGGTTCCCCTGCAGACAGAAGTGACCCCAGGTCAACCCCAGCATCCTGTATGGGCCTCGTGCCAACGACGCTCTACACCCACAGTGTTAACGGGCTGGTGCTGTCCCTGCTGGCCGAGGAGCCGCTGCTCAGCGACGATGCCGCCATCGAGGAGGTGGTAAGTGTGTGCAGACCTGCCTTCCGGGAGCGGGGACAGGCGTGCAGGGGCCCGCCTTGTAGCACTGTGTAGGGCTGTGAGACCTCGTGGGTCATCCCCACCTGCTGTACACGGTGGGGATGACGGTAGTGCCTACACCCCGGGTTTGGCAGGGGTGAGTGAGTCCAGCGCAGAGCACAGTGCTGGGGGCAGAGGCATCCCACAAGCTTAGTCCCCTGACCCTTCCCCACTTCCGTTTTCCCGGAGTGCAGGGCGGGATGTTCTGGCTCCCCCTCGGCAGGGTCGGGGTGCTGGCCAGCCCTGCCCTTCAGGTGCAGTGCACGCACGATCATACAGGTAAAAGCGGGGAGCACGGCCAGGGTCGTGCCGCCACCCCTGCCACCACCGCTGGTGGCCTCCCCTCCCAGCCTGGGCAGCTGTAGGTCCTGTGTCAGCTGGAGTCTGGGTGGGGACTATTCCAGAAGGCTGTGCTTTCCCTCCACTGAACCGAGGTGATCTGAAGCTCCTTCCTAGCGGTCCTGAGACATCTGAAATGCTAACGGGCTCCAGAAGCCTCCTCTTTTTTTTTTTTTTTTTTTTTTTTTTTTTGTAAGATTTATTTATTTATTTGACAGAGAAAGAGAGATCACAAGTAGGCAGAGAGGCAGGCAGAGAAAGAGAGGAGGAAGCAGGCTCCCTGCTGGGCAGAGAGCCCGATGCGGGGCTCAATCCCAGGACCCTGAGATCATGACCCGAGCCCAAGGCAGAGGCTTAACCCACTGAGCCACCCAGGTGCCATCCAGAAGGCTCCTCTCAAATCATTCCAGCCTCTTCCACCCAGAGCAGTGAACTGACCTTCTCGGAGCCCACACTGGCACTAAGCTCCAGTTGCTATAGTAACAGCCTCGCCTGGTTAGCCTGGAAGTGGGAGCAGGAAGAACAGCAGCTTGAAACAGCTGCAGGGCAGATAGTGTCCTGGGGCTTGCCTTGTTTCTGTTCTTAAATCTGTATTATTCTAAGGCGGTCTTATTAGCATGCAGGGCTTGGTAAGCGAGCCAGTCCCCTTGGAGCACAGAGGAGGGAAGGCAGCTTCCTCTGTGCTGAGCCTGCTCCTCTCCAGGCCTGCTGGTTTATCTTCCCTTTCCATAGTCTGCACGGCACCTGGTGGTGGTTGGGTTGTTTCCTGCACCCTCTTCCACTGCAGCTGGGAGGGACTGACCCTCCCCCTTCCACCAGCACCCCAGGGCCCCTGGGTGCCATGCTGGGTCTGTCGTCTCCCTGACGATACCTTGGTACCCGTGGCGTCTTCTGCTTGGTGCCAAGCTGCGGACAGGTTATTCTGAAGGCCTGGCATTTGGATGCCATGAAGTTGGATATGCTATCTTTATGTTCCCCGCCGCCCTCTCCCCACCCCAAAAAAGAAAAAAATAGCATAGGCTCCTCCTGAGGAAGGAAGAAAATTAACATGTACTCTGAATTCAGTGGCTTCTAAGGCCTTGACATCTTCTATTTCAGCCAAGAATGAGAGCAGCACGGGGGGAGGCACTATAACTCCTGTTTTACCAGGAAGAAGACAAAGCGGAGGGTCCAGAATCCTGGCTTGTTCCCCGTCTCCCTGCCCCTGCTCGTCTGCTCCCCCACTGATCCAGACCCCTGGAGTGACCGGCCTTGGTTTGTCCCATAGGGCCCCTCCGTGTCAGGACAGCGGCCTCCATGGGCTTTCATACAAAGGAGGGTCTGGTGTGAGGTGGGCCCCAGGAAAGCGGTGCGGTGTAATGAAGAAGCAAAACTCTTTTCTAAAAAGAGTCGGGAGTAACTAGCTTTGATCAGCTTGCTGGTTTGAGAGCTGCCTTTATTGATCAGGCCCGAAGGCTGTCTGTTTTATAATTGGGAGAGCTCTTTTCTTGCCTTTCTGTCCTGGAACCGCATACAAATGCTTGACCTGATTTCCCTCCAGACCTTTGGCCGCTGTCGGGAAAAGCAGGTCCGCTGCAGAGCGGTAAACCACAGTTCTGATAGGACAGCAAGGCCCCCCGCACCCCGCTTTGAAAGGGTTCCTTGATCATTTTACACACCATCAACCCATCTTTTTTAGTGAATGGACTGCCACCCCTTTTATGTTTGCTGAGGGTTGGGGCAGGGAGCTGGGTGGAAGAGGGTTAGGGGAGAGAGGGGAGCAGCCAGGAGAGGTTACCCATGGTTCCAAGAAAACCCGAGTGTGCTCACACCAGGGGGCAGCATAGAGCCACTGATTCGTTGCTGCTCAAAACCCAAGATAATCTCACTGACCTTCAAATCCAGGGATCAGATCAATTATTCACTGCTACAGTAGGACTTTTGAGCGGTTGGTATACAGCAGATGAGGCCTGAGGTTAGTGCCAGGGTATCAGTGTAAAATTCTTCATGAAAATGTACCCCTCCCCCGTGAAACTAGCACTTTGGGTGAAGGTATGTCACTGTTCCACTTCTTCCGCACGCTATGGCACACGCGGACATTCAAGCCACTTGCTTTACCGCTGACTAGAAGCTGAAGGAGCCAGGAATTAGCCCCAGCTCCGTGTCTCCTGGGGCTGTTGTGAGACATGTCTGCTAGTCTGTCTCAGGGCTTGGCAGACTTTTAATGTAAAGGAACACCTGGCGCGTGTTTTTCAGCTCTGTACAGTTACCCGGCTCCACTGCTGTAGACAATATGTAGACAGACGTCGTGGCTGTCTTCCAGCCACACGGTACCTATGGATACAGAAATTGGAACTTCGCTTTCTTCTTTCTCAGCTTTTCTGTTCACCTCTATTTTATGATTTTTTTAGAGTTTATTTATTTTTAAAAGATTTTATTTGTTTCTTTGATAGAAGGAGACACAGTGAGAGAGGGAACACAGGCAGAGGGAGAGAGAGAGGGAGAAGCAGGCTTCTTGCCGAGCTGGGAGCCTGACACGCGGCTGGATCCCAAGACCCCGGGATCACGACATGAGCCAAAAGCAGACGCTTAACCGACTGAGCCACCCAGGCATCCCTGACTTTTCTACAATTTAAGAAAGCATTAGAACATAAAGGTGGGAGGGGCACCTGGGTGGCTCAGTCAGTTAAGTGTCCGACTCTTGGTTTCGGCTTAGGTGGTGATCTCAGAGTTGTAAGATCACGTCTTGTGTGGGGCTCTGCACTGGATGTGGAACCTGCTTAAGATTCTCTCTCCTGCCCTTCCATTCCCCATGTTCATGCGCTCTTTTCTTTCTCAAGTAAATCTTTAAAAAAAAAAAAAAAGAAGAAGAAGAAGAATATAGGGCGGGAATTAGTACTTCTCCAAAAACAGGTAGAAACACCAGTCAGGGTCCTTTCTGCTGATCAAATGGCCATGCAGGTTTTCCCTGGGTTGTTATTTCTGAGGCCCCGGCCCACTGAGGTTAACCCGGCCGTTCCTTTGCAGTACCACAGTAGCCTGGCGTCCCTGAACGGGCTGGAGGTCCACCTGAAGGAGACGCTTCCCAAAGACGTGGCTGCCTCCCCCAGCAGGATGTACAACTTCACGCATTATGACCGCGTCCAGAACGTGCTGACCAGTAAGGAGAGGCACATGGGGCCCAGGGTGGGGGTGAGGACTCGGGGCTGGCGCCCCCGGGGTTGCTGCTGTGCCCAGAGTCGTGGCCTGCCCATAGGATGCTGCTCTCTCGCTTGGGAGCCAGCTCCCACTGAGTTTAGAATTCGCCTGGCAAACATTTCTTTACTCATTTTGTCTTTTTGGTTGTTTCTCCAACATTTTGAGAGAAGCACACACATGTTCAAATATCTGTGAGAAGGTCTGCCTCGAAATGTTGGTGTTCATGGGCAGAAACCGGTGTTGCTCATTCTCAGGGACATCGTGCAGTCTGTCACATGGTGGCAGCTGAAGCGGCCCAGCATGTTGGGTGCTGGCTCTCATGGCCCTGAGTCCCCCGCCACCGCTCTCCCAATGTATAGTGCTGGCGGTGGGGAGGGCAGGGGAGGAGTCTGCCACCCACAACTTCTGTGTCCTCTTCCGGAAGCAAACCTGCCACAGGCAGCCACCTCCCAGGACCGCCGCTTCCTCCGGGCCATCAGCCTCATGCACTCGGACTTTGCCCAGCTGCCCGCGCTGTACGAGATGACTGTCAGGTGAGTTTCCCCCCAACCCGGTCACTCCTGAAGTCCTGCACCCAGAGCAGCCTTTCCAGGGGTCTGGGCCACAGTCTTTTCATAACGAAATGAAGAACATTCATCCAGTCCCCTGCCCACCATTACCTCCTTTCACGGGACCTCTGTCTCTTGCCAAAAGCGATGCCCGAGTGCCGTTGCTGCCCACCAATATGGTCACGTGCTCACAGAAACGGTCAGACTGGCACGAATCTAGGAAGTAAAAGGCTTGCCTCCCCTCACCTGTCACACCCAAAAGACCGGTTAGTCTGGTTCTCTCTCTTTTTTTTTTTTTTTTTTTAAAGATTTTATTTATTTATTTGACAGACAGAGATCACAAGTAGGCAGAGAGGCAGGCAGAGAGAGAGGAGGAAGCAGGTTCCCTGCTGAGCAGAGAGCCCGATGTGGGGCTCCATCCCAGGACCCTGGGATCATGACCTGAGCCGAAGGCAGAGCCTTTAACCCACTGAGCCACTCAAGCGCCCCTAGTCTGGTTCTGTTACTCCGGGTTTTGTTGTTGTGGTGGGGTTTTCTTTTTTGCTTAGAAAAAAGAGATTGTATTTTTGTTATTTTAATCGTTTTTTTTCTAAAAAGTAGGATCACACTAATGTACTGTTTTATAAGTTCCTTTTTTCACTTTATTATATATCCTAAGCATCTCCGTATCAGTAGGTACAGAGCTATAAATTAGTATCATATAGTATTTAACCAACTGAATTCTACTTTTTCTCCCTACATGCTTCTCTTATGAAACCATAGGAGAAAATCAGGCAAGTGAGAGGGTCAAGAGGGAAGGGCGTGCTCTGTGTTTGTTATTCCACTCAGTCCTTGGGATAATTTGGACGGGTGCATGTTTTTGTCCTCATGGTACAGACGAGGATATTGAGGCACAAACAGGATAAGTGGCTTGTCCCAGTGTCACAGTCTGATTAAGGGACAGAGCCAGGATTTGAACCTGAGTCTCTCTGACTTTAACATATACATTCTGTCCACACATTTCCAGCTCAAGGGGGTGGGGGAGGGCAGTCGAAATGGAGGGGTGTGGGCCCTGGACTCTCACAGACATGCCCTGGGGCCTCAGCCATCACAGTGATGCTCTGCCAGTGCCCTGCACATGGGGTTTCGGGCATCTTTGCGGCCCAGCGCCATCTCTGGCCAATACTTCAGTGTATCTTTCCATAAAAATGTGCTGTCTCCAGCTTTAAGTCTGAGCTGCCCCAGGCTGGCAACCTAGATGAACGTGTCCTGTCACAGGTATGGGAACCAGTTGTGCTGGGGTGTGGGGGGTTCTGTTTTGAGAGGGATGGAAATAAGTGAAATGTCAGCCTGAGATCTGTCAACCTCCTCGCGGCCCTGTGATACTCCACCTTCCTTGGGGAAGAGAGGGTTTTAGTGTTGGGATACGTGGCTTATTTTAATAGTAATAGAAGCAGTAGCCACAGTTTCTTAATCCCTCATCACGTGCTAAGCAATTTATATCTTTGACTCATCTTGTCTCTTAAAAAATCTCAGGGATGGGATTCACTATCGCTCTTATCCATTTTACAGATGTGGGACTTAGAGCTGGGACTGAGAAAGGATGAGTCACTTACCAGGGGCACACAGCTCGGGAGCCACATGGCTGGGATCAGCTTCTCGGTGTGTGGGGCCCTAGCTCATGCTTGTAACCACGAGGCCGTGGAGCCCCCTCTCCGTGGCTGTTGTGACATGCCTCTGACTCTGCTGGTCCAGGGAGTGGCACAAAACACCTAGGCCAGGGAGGCCCTTCTAGCCCCTTGAGCTCCCAGGGAGAAGCTAGAGGAGGATGGGACTCTCCTCCCTCCTCGCCTGGAAGCAGAGATCCCAGTGAGGGGGGCCCTTGTGGTTCTTGACTCTACCCTCTCTTAGTAGATTTGGGGAAACAGACCTAGTAGAGCAGTAGTCCGAGGCCGGCAGGATCAAGGAACCAGCTGGTTGCCTGGCCCTGGAGTTGCTTCCTCCCTCATGGGTCCTCCTTTGCACAGGACCTTTATCCCTCCGTTTCTGTGATAGGTTTCCTGTCACTTTATGTCATATCCCACTCCTTTGCCCATATTCCCTTCACTCTTCCAGCTGCCCTCCATGGACAGTCTGTGCTTGGCAGCCTGGTGGCATCACCCAGCCCCACGCCGTCAGGGCCCTGTCTGTCCCATGGGGTCACCCCTCTGCTGCATGACTGTATGAGGCTGTTCTGTCAGCACAACGTGCACCCATCTGTGCACCCATGCAGCTGCCGTGCCCCCTTCGGGCTCTGTGGCCAGGGCCACCACACACAGTCACAGCGTCCCGGTAGTGGAAAGGAAAGAGATGGTGACGGGCACGGATGCTGGACCTCAAGTGCAAACATCAAAGCCCGAATGGTGGCATTTGGAGTTGCGGGGCCCCCGCAGCACCTCTCGAGGTCCCTGTGGGCAAAGGCCTGCACAGGTGGCACAGGGACGGTCATCTGTGCCCTCTCTCCCCGCAGGAATGCCTCCACTGCAGTGTACGCCTGTTGCAGCCCGGCCCAGGAGACCTACTTCCAGCAGCTGGCTGCGGCGGCACGGAGCTCCGGCTTCCCCAGCCCGCAGGACGGCGCCTTCAGCCTCCCGGGCAAAGCCAAGCAGAAGCTGCTGAAGCACGGGGTGAACCTGCTGTGAGCCAGGCTGGAGGGCACGAGCGGCTCCCAGGGGGAGGCCTGCCTTCTTCAACAGAAGACGTCCCTCGGTTTTCTCTGTCTCGGTAGAGTCCCCTTTGCAGACACCGTAATGACACTTGAGTGTCTGTGAACTCGTTTGGGAGCCCAGGGTTTCAGTGGGTAGTACTCTGGGTCAGCAGGTCCAGAGCTCATGGTAAGGGGCCTTATGACACTGACCGCAGCCTACCAAAGAGGGCTGGGGCCTGACGCTCACTCTGCATCTGAGGCTCCCAGCATTTCTCACTACTGCTCCCATCAAGGCTTAACTAGTACCACGAACGTTCAGGTGACTGTTTCCTCCAGAACCCCATTGTCCTAAGTCCCGTGGACATCGTGAGGTGGGCTGCACGGGGGGATAGAAGTGGTTTGCAAGTGAACAGGGACTCCCACACCTCGGGTGGGGGTTCCTCAGAGCGCCCCTCCCGGGAGTTCTCGACACTCGATGCAGAGAGGCGGGCAGCAATGCCGAAACCACCTTGTTTGCCTTCTTCTGGAACTCTGTGCAAAACCAGGAGCCCGGTCTTCAGAACACCCATGGTGGGAGCCAATCTTGATACCGTGCAAAGGAGCCTGGTGTTTTCAGGTAACTAAGCCCTGGGGTGCCGAGACGGGGAACCGGGTGTTCCTTTGGTGCGAGGAGGGCCGTGCAAGTGAGTGTCCTCAGCAAGGAGTTTCCACAATGTCTGGGGCAAAAGCAAAGCTTTGTGAAAGGGAGCGGCACGCACGGGTGTTCTTGCCCATGTCCGAGGCAGACGGTGTGTGCTAACGTGTTTGACGTCACAGTAGGAAGTACTTACCGGAGGCTTAACTGTTCCCTGGGAGTACCTGAGATCCCACTGGAAAACTGTAATGTTAATAATTTCCTAACGGTGAACCAATGTCTCTTGTTGACGACAATATCTTTTTCTTAAAACAAGTTGCCAATGGTTAAAAATAAAACAGCCCAAACTGCTGTTGGGTTGTGAGTAATGCTAACATCTCCAGTGACAAAGTTAAGATAAGGGTTCACATATTTTATGAGTGTGTGTGTGTGTGTGTGTGTGTGTGTGTGTGTATTTGGTACAGACACCTTTCTCGGTGCCGTGCCAATGTGGGCAGGTGAGGGGGGATACACTTCAGACTGGTACACGGGTGTGTCCGCGAGGAAGACAGTGCAGCCACTGACCTGGCTTCAGCATGGCTGGCCCAGCACACCAGGCCTAGTTAATTTTCCTCCCTGGGGTCCCTCCCGCACTGGCTGGCCTAAGTTAAGGGTCATCTTCCCAGATGGAGGAGAGCGCACCCTAAGCTAGGGTAAATGTTTACTGTCCTACTGCTCTGCTAAATTCTCCCAAGAAAAAATTTGGCACAGGCCTCTGTGTTACCCCTTCAGGGAACCTTCCCACGACTGACTGACACAAAACATGGCCCTTTTCTGTTGTGGGGTTATTTTTAAGCAGCCAAACTCTTCCTTTTGCTCACTGGGGCTCCAGAATTCTGAAGTCCCCAGATTTGAGCTCAGGGACATTACAACCTGTCCTGTGTTGAAATGGGGACAGAATTTGGAGCCCAGAACCCATTTTCATCTGCCTGCTCCCAGCTTAGCTAATGGCCTGAGTTCAAGGACTTTTCCCAACCCGATCCATTTCAGGAAAAAATCACTGGGCTGTCACTGGGGTCTTTCCTAGATATCATGCCATCTGCAGACCTTAATCTTACTGGGTGTGCTTTTGGAAACCTCATTCCCCATCTACTTTCTCAGAGCTGCCATTGAGCCTAAAAACACTCTTAACACAAAATGCTTTTGTTTCTGAGAATCCATGTTCTAGGCAGACACATGCTTCCTCTTTAGATCTGACCCCAAATTAAGTCTTAAAAATTCACTGTAGAGCCAGAGATCAACACAGCAGAATGTGAAGACCCACACGCAATGGTTAGTTCAAAATAATGAGCACAAATTCTCTACAACAAATTAGGGACCTACCTTCTCCCTTGAGCAGGGCCTATACTTAGTGATTTGCTTCTAACAAACAGAACGTGGTAAAAACGACAGTATGACTACTGGGAGCAAGTTACACAACACGTGGCAGATTCCATCTCTCTCTTGGTTCGTCTCCTTTGGGGGAAGCTGACATTCAGGTAGCCCGTGGAGAGGCCCTCGTGGTGAGGGTCTCCCGCCCACAGCCATGCGAGGGAGCCTTCTTCCTCCAGCCCTGGTCAAGCCTTCAGATGAGTGCAGCCTTATGACAGTCTGAACCAGGACTGTCAAACCAAATTGCTTCCGAATTCCCATTATGTGACATAATCAATGCGTGTGGTTCTGAGCCACCATTTGGGGGTCGTTTGTTACACAGTAAGAGCTCATTAAGACACTTGGGTGCAAATATCCCATCCACCAAACTAGGTTCCTTACAACTTTGGCACAGGGGGCCATTGAGCCAAATGCTAGACGAAGCTGCAGGCTCAGATCCCAGCTACTCCTTTCCCACTGGAGAGAGCAGGGCTGGACAACAGCAAGATACTGTGAGCGCTCCCTCAGCTTTCTTCCTACAGCTTCCTGAGCCGGACATGAATGCCCAGCTGGGTTCCCCCCTTTCCTCTGCGCATTGCCCTGGCCTCTCTTCTTACTCCAGCCTCGCAGGTGCCTCCATGCAGGTCACCCTTCTCTGAAAGTAAACAACCAAATGGCCCCAAGCCCCCAGCCTTCCCGGCCCCAGCCCAGCTTGCTTCTTGGGGAAGCCCAGTGAGGTGCATGAAAACCCACAAAGCTTTCTGCTGGAGTTTGAGGAAACGCAGGTGGAGCTGGGTGGAGCTGGGGGACGAGCAGCAGTGTGGGGGAAGCTGAGACAGTCCCTCTGGATGCTGATTTCCTCAGTCCTAGGATACATGTCCAAGAGCTGGGGGTCACCTGGAGAGTGGCCTCCCCTGGTGTGCATTTCCACTGTTCCTGAAGCCTTGAACATCTCCCCGTCACCAGCCCAGCACTGGGCTCTCAGCTATGGCGGCTTCAGCACATTGCCCTCTGGCTCCAACTTGCCCTCAGCCAGTGTCCCCCAGCACCAGAGCAGAGAAGACAGCTGCATACAGTCATTTGTGCTGTGAACCTTCTCCTGCTCTCCACCAAGATGGGACTTTACAAGTCCTATTCCTTGTGTATGGAAAAGCACCCCCCCACCCGAGTCTCATCGACCCGGATTAATTCAGAAAAGCTGGAGTCCATAAACATGCACAGGCACACCCCTTCCCTCTGCTTCTCTGGTCCCATTTACTTTCTGCCGTGGGGCTCAGCTCCATGACCTCAGTGGCAGCCTTGACCCTGACCGGGGCCCAGAGGCCACTGGAAGCACACTGCTCAACCCCCCGTCTTCCTGTTCAGTACTACAGAGGTCTGGTGACTGAGGACATCATTTCCGGACAGTCCCAGACCCATACTCTGAAAATTAGCATCTGGACTCTGGGCTCCCCAGAGCAGGATCCTCCTGCTAGAGTGGGCCCCATACCCCCGGGGCTGGTGTGCCCCCAGGGAGGTGGCATTTGCAGGAGAGACCCTTCCCTGCCTTGGTTTACAGGTGACACCAGAGTGCCCACATCCCCCTGGACAACAGCCTCATGCCAGCAGGGAACACGGGATGGGGAGGAAGGGAAGGGTTCTGTTTTGGGTCAGTCCATGCTGGTTGCCCAGCATCGACTACTTGTGAGCCTCCAGGATCAAGTTCCCCTGGTGTGATTAATAGTGGCATTCAGACTGCTTCTGGGAAAGGGCCTCTGGTCCATGGGCAGGGCGGTGGGGTGGTGCTTTGAGCCTAATCAAGCTGCCTAGGGAGGCTGGTGGGGAGCATCCAGGCTCTCTGGGTCTTGTCACATTGACAGCAGTAGCACGTGGAGCCTGGCGGCCGCTCCACACTCTCTCAAGTGTTAACCCCACAGTGGTTCTCTCCAAAGTGGCGGACATGCCCTTCACACCCCCACCAATACCACTTTCCTAACACCCCACCCTGCAGTGAGTGGGGGGCCCCCAGAAGTACCACCTCCTCATTCCTGGCTGCTGCGTTACCTCAGAAGCTAAAGATCCTGCTGTTGTGATTAAGAATCTGGAAGTACATGGCGTGCCTGGGTAGCTCAGTTGGTTGAGTGGCTGCCTTTGGTTCACATCATGATCCTGGAGTCCTGGGATCAAGACCCACATCAGGCTCCCTGCTCAGCGGGGAGTCTACTTCTGCCTCTGACCTCTACCCTCTGTGCTCTCTCTCTCACTCTCTCTCTGATAAATGAATAAAATCTTAAAAAAAAAAATCTGGAGATGCAGAGAATATTCTGGATTACTCCAGTGCCATCACAAGCCTGCTTAACAGAGAGGCAGAGGAAAACGACTCCTGTTGAGAGGAGGTGACGTGGAGGCAGAGACGAGTGACATAGCCACAAGCCAGGGCCACCAGATGCCTAAGGAGGTGAGGGACGGATTCTGTCCTGGAACCTCGGGACAGCACCCACAGGAGACCAACACGTCTGCCTTGCAAGTGATTTGTGTGTCCTGGCAATTCCAAGCCGCTGGTCTCTGGACAGTGTGGTGCCACAGAGCACAGATGGGGCCCCACCACCTCCACCACCCCCACCGAGAAGCCCTGCATGCTTACTGGAGTGCTGGGAATTTATCCTGGGCAGAGGAGAGCTTTGAAGCAGGGGAGTGACTGGATCGGACTCTCATGAGAAAGGTCACTGGCTCTTGAACAGATGAGAAGCAGGGTGATGGGAGGAAGAGTCCCTGTCCCCCCCAACCCCTGGGCCATTGTGAGGAGACTGGGGAGGACAGGGTGTACAATCAACACTTGTCAGCTGGGCGGAGGAGAAAAAAGATACTCTGGATCTTTTCTCAAGGTGTTTTTTGAATCTGGGAAGCTTAAGGTAAAGGTTCTCAGGGGTTTGTGAGACTGAAAAAGGACGTTTCCTCTCTGTTTACCTTTAACAGGTAAATTGGCTATCCTTCTCCTGGGAATAAAATCCACAGTGCTCATGAATCCTGTTAGAGCCCAGAGGCCACTCCCTGAGTGCCCGTGTGTGTGTGTGTGTGTGTGTGTGTGTGTGTGTGTGTGTGCGCGCGCGCGCATGCGTGCACAAGTGTGCATGCACCTGTTCCAAGCAGAGTGCCCCAGGCAGGGCTGGAGGCCTGGACGTTGAAACCCCATGAGGCCCCCTAGGCAGGGGGAGGGGGAGACAAGCAGCCCCACCTCCCTTGGGCAGGCGAAAAGGCACTGTGTATGTCTTCCCTCCAACCAGCCCGCAGGGGCTTCTGTGGGCCCTGGGCTCAGATCACATCTCTCTGAGTTGCTGGGGCTCAGGGACTTGACTTCTTGGAACCTGAGTGTCTTCTCTAACATGGAGAGGAAAAGGTAATTATGTAAAGGCATGGCATATTGTGGGGGCTCCCAGAATGTGGGGTTCGATGAATGTCCCAAGAGGACAAATGGCCTCTCCAAGAGGTCCCTGTGCCAGCCATGGAGGCCTGAACGTGTGACTGGAGGTCAAGAGGCTGCCAGACAGCGTGCCTGGGGCCTGGCCTCTAATTCCAGCCTGGCCTTCAGCTTGCCACGTGACCTTGGCCACAGGGACTATTGCCATGAGCTAACTTTCTCTGTGTTACATGCACACAACTGTCTCTCTTCCCCCAGTGTGGGCCCCAAGGACTCGTGGGATACTAATAGAGGCAGAAGAATATTCTAGAGTACACAGAGTTCTCTATACCCAGGGGAGAAAGCACTCTCACCTTGGGTTTGGGGTGTCTAATGCATCAGACATGGGGAAACGTGGGGAAGGGTAGGTGATCAGAAGTTAGGACCGACGTGTGTGCCTGGGAAAGAGGCAGAAAGTAAATCCATCTCTGTGTGTGTTGCCGCCTGCCACTTAATGTTACAATCTGCTTGAGTATTTCCACTGCCATCTGTCAGCAGCCTGAAAATATATGGCCTTATTTTGTCCTGTTCCCTGTGTTTACATCTGGTTAGCAAGATTTAGCAGGGAGGTGTATCTTAGGGGGAAGTTGCTGGCAGCAGGGCCCGATGGTCCTCACAAATAGCATTTTGTACTGAGCCTTTGCTTTGATTACTTAACATTTAAAAAAATATGTATGGAGCACTTCCTATCCACCCAGATTGTGACATACTGTTATCTTACTCAAAGCCCACTTTAAGCCTGTGAAGGTAGGCATTTGGCCCATTTTATAGATGAACCTCACCAAGTGGGTCAGGACTTTTTGGTGGGAGGGACAGCAACTGCAGATCAAATTTGGCTTCAGAATAAAAAGGGAGTTTATTGGCTTGTGGAAGTGGCAAGTCCGGTGGTAGCACTGGTTCCAGGCAAAGCTAGATTAGGGACTCTGGTGACCTCCACACGATGGCACCTGCTTTCCTCTGTGGATTTCACTGTCAGATTTTCTTTACACTAGATCCCCACCTCTACTGCATGAAAAGTAACTTTTCTTTCTCAATGATCTTAGCCAAAGGACAGGATCCTGTCAGCAGCCCTGACCTAATTCCTGAGTGCTGAAGAGTTTGGAAGGCTCTGACTGGTCGGGTCTGGATGGTGAACCCAGCCCTGCAGCTGGGGCAGACCAGACCCTAGAAACCCAAGAACTAAGAATGGGGATGCTACCTCTTGCAAGGGGCTCAGCAGGGTACTGTTGGAGGAGAATGTTACAAATAGCGGTTGTTCACTAGAGACCCAGGTTAGAAGTGGCCTGGGTGTCACAGAGGAACACCGTCCAGACTTTAACCTGGAGCTGGCTGGTTTCAAAGGCCTTGTCATTCTTAAGAGGCATTGACTCTTGTTCCCATTAGAATCAGGGCAGGAAATGAGTTAAAACACATACGGAGATCCGGGCCCCACCCCTTGAACAAAGAAATGAGATGCTTTGGGGCGGGGGTGGGGGGGGGATTGTGGGCATCACTATTTCTCAGAACACCCCAGGTGATTGTATTGTGCAAAGTCAAGAACCAGCGGATTAGATCACCTTTCCCCTCCCTGGCTATACGTGGCTATACACCATAGGCCATTCAACATTACAAGTGTAACCCAGAACCCAGACAATCTGGGTGAGTGCAGCGGTAGGGGGTAGGGATAAGGAGCAGATGCCTGGGAGCCCTGGGACGTGACCTTGTGTGGTCTGGGCTTGAAGGTGGTTTGGGCTGTGTCAGGATGGAAGCAGGGCTTCTCATCTGAAGCTGGGCGAGCACCCTTAGCTGTAACGCGTAAATTATTTTAGCAATTGCCTAGTTGGCAATGCACACTTCAGGAGAGCGAGAAACATCTCAGCCCCGGGCAAGTGGTGCTCCTCCCTTCTGCTTGTTGAGAGAGCCCAGCCAGGACTGCAGCTGGAAGCAAGCTTGCTAGGAAAACACCAGGCAGCCTGGCTGCTCTGGGGGCCCCAGGCCACCCGCATCACCTACCTCTTTTTAAAAGGAAAAATTTCAACTAAGGGACTTGCTTCTTCCCCTGTACTGAGGCGGTGGGAAGGGGCCATTGGCTCCCCAGGCCACCCCCACCACTGATCAGACATGTTGATCTGCCTCTTTCTTACCTGTCCTGCCTCTCACCTGTCCCCCTGCACCTGCTCAGAACCACTATGGCAGAAAGGGGACCTCACTGCTACTGTAGGGATGAGGCCATATCTGCAGAGGAGCACAGCGACGCTCCCAGAAGCTCCGTGACTTGCCCAAGGTTGGGCGGAAGCCAGCTCCTGGCACGGAGTCCTGAGTACCTCCCAACCCCTACCTTTCCTGAAGCCATGGTCCTTGTTCTCTGCCTCGCGTGCCACTTAGAGCTCCTTAACGTTCCATGGATCTGCTCCTGTTAGCCCACACCCATCATTGGAGAGCTCCGTTTTTGTCTCACTCACCATAGACAGCGGTGCCTGCGGGGCCCCACCCGTCTCTGCAATGTGATCCAAACTCCCAGTGGCTCCTGCCAAGTGCCCTCTTTTCCCCAACAGACCACTTTCACAGTTCACTCTGGTTTTCAGCAAGGTCCTTTATTTATCTCCTGTTCCCCAAGCACGGCACATGGTACCCGTGTGGGCTGTGGGCTTTGTAAATGGAGAGCAGTCAGTATGTATAGAAATCATGCACCTCGGTGATTCTTTGACAAGATACTTAATGAGTAAAAAGATTTCACGTATGTTGGAAACTGCTGCCCTGTCCGGCATTCCGCTCACTGAAAAAGATCGGTGTAGAGATCTGACTCCAATGGAAACAGGTTTTCTTTGCTCACTTGCCAGTCACTGCCTAGGGCATCTCGGCCCAGGGTCACTTCTGACGGCCATTCCTCCCGGAAGCTGCTGGTTCTGTTCCGAGAGAACCCTGGACCTGTACGGGTGACCAGCTGTACACCGCCCACTGTATACATCAGACACTGCCCGTGATACGTGATTCGAAAAAGGCATCTCTAGGACAGCTGGAGGCTACTCTTGCACACCTCGGGTCACAGGAGAATGTTTCTAGAATTTGTGCCTCCAGCTGGCCATATCCTTCACAAGAAACCGAAAAGCCAGCTCCACCGCTGTGGGTCTTTTGGGTTCGTAGGTCTCTGCAAAGGCCCCGCTCACACCCCCTGGCTTAGGTCATTGTCACCTGGCATGCACCCCTGAGCAGAGACGAAGACATGGGGCCGACCCCTCCACTGTCTCAGAGCCCAGCACTTGGTACATTTATGTACAGACAAATAAATGGAAAATCATAGGCAACAAAACTCCATAGCAAAACAGACATTTTTTTGGTCAGATCGACAATTCCAGTTTTGCCAGAGGAAGGTGCTGCTGGAATGTCACCGGAGGAGCACGCAGTCTCATGCTGCCATAGCTCCTATCAGCCAAACGGCTGGTCTGAACGTTCATCGCCGCGGACTCGAAGCGGCTGCGCAGGGAGTGTTCCTGGCCCCATTTGGCAGGAGGGCTCCTGTGGGCAGTGAGGTAAGCGGATCACACATTCGGCAGCTGATCCGTGGGAGCCCCGACTTGGCTCTTGAGGACACCAGCCTCAGCTTGGAAGGAAAGCCGTGTTTACACAGGAGCCTCCAGTCCCACCAGCCAGATGCTCCCCACTGTCGGGGACCTGAAGGGGTTTGGGAGTGAGGGGAGCGACGGTGGCAAGTCTGTTCAGGCCCAGCCGTGCATGCCGCCCCTGACTGGGCTCTCCCTGCCCGTGAAGCTGGCTGGGTGTGGGAACTGCAGACTCTCCCCTGCCCCAGGGTGGCTGAAGGGTCCCCTGTGTGACCGTGACGGCAACAGAGGCCAAGGTCTCTAACACTCTGGTTTGCAGTTTTTGTTTTGTTTCATTCGTTTTTCTTTTCAGATGACCACAAGGAGTTTTTAACGTGATTACATTCAGACAGATAACCGCTTGGTTACTCTATTCCAGAGCACTGAAAAAACCAGGTATGTGACACGGCACAGACAACAGTCACACCGAAGGCACAGAGCCCCCAGTCACAGAGCAAAGTAACGCGCTATTAGGCAGAAAGGAATCGCAGAAGCAAATGACTGGAAGGAAAAAAAGAAAAATCTAAGGCGATACAAGCTGAAAATTTCCCATTTACAATAACCAAAGGAAAGAGGGAGCCCACGTGATCTCAAAACCCCAAATAAGAACTTTCTGGTGAGGCAGGACTCAGAGCATGGATTCACAGCACGGGTTGGGGCTGGACCGTACCCCAGTCTGCCCGGGCTGACCCGCGGCCACTGTCGCCGACTCCAGCACAGAAAACGTTCTCATCGACCCGGAGCAAAGATGAAATCCAGGGCCTGACGTTCGGCTGCTGCCACATTGGGATGCCACAAATCCACCATGAAAACCACCCGTGGGCCATCCTCTGCTGAACCTGGGAGGGGGGTGCGAGAGAGGATAGGTTCAAACGTTCCAGAGCCAGGACCCATGCAGTGCTGGACCCCCACAGTGAGCTTCCGGGCAGGGCCCATCCTGTCCCTTGGCTTGGATCGGAAGATCGCCTCCTCTCTGAACAGGAACGTTACCACGGTTTCATAAGGTTCTGGGTGGAGCGTGTGAAAGGAGAGGGGCAGAGGACGGCAGGAGTGAGTAAGAGGACTTTTTGGCTGGTGGAACTGTTCCCGTATGATCCTGTCAGGGTGCATCCGTGTCACTATACATTTGTCAAAACCCACAGAACACACAGAAACAAGAGTGAACCCAAAGGAGACTAGAGTTCAATTAACGATAACCTGTCACTCTATGTGTTGCTTGCAACAAATGAACCACACTAAAGTAAGATGGTAATGGAAGGGGAAATGGAGGGGGGGGGGCTTATATACTCTGCTCAGTTTTTCTGGAAACCTAACTGTGCTAAGAAATAAAGCCTATAACTTAAAAGAAAGAAAAGAGAAAGGCAGCCGCTCACCTTCGTGGAATGCAGTGTGCAGGAAAGAGTCATCAAAGAGCAGGCAGCGTCCTTCTGCCCAACACTGGGGCTCCCCCCCGACCACCAGTTCGCAGCCACTTGGGGTTTTGAGACCTTTGAGGGAAAAGCAGAGAAAAGAGAATGAAAGCAGGTGGGATGGGGGGAATGGGCTGTTTTGGTACAAATTGTCAACTTCTGAAGTGTCCTGGCCTTCTGCCTCACCCCTCAGAGCCCTGTCTGGGCTTTGGCAGGGTAAATACAGGCTGTGGACCCCGACCATCACCGAGCTCCCTAGAAAACCACATTCCTCCATTGTCTTCATCTGTTCTGGGTCATGGGTCACTCTGCCAAGTCTTGTGCTGCACTTTTGAGACCCCTGAAGCCCATCTGTGGGACCTCCTATTCCAACCCCCATTAATTGAAGAAGACCAGGTTTATAACCCGCCTGGCCTGGTAAACCAATCTCTAGGGCTCCTTTGGTTAAGATGAAACCAGGCCCTCCTCTTTGGGTTCCAAGCTTTAAATCCATGTTGGGGCCTGAGGATGGCATGTTCTTAGTCTAAGCTCCTCTGGCCGCCCTCTGGGACACTGATGGTCACCCCTAAGGCCATGCCTGAGCTCCACGGAGAAAGAGGCCCACATCTTTGTAAGCCTCCATACATTCACAACGGCGAGCACATGAGGTGCCAAGCAGGGGTGCATAACCGCAGGGAGCGGGCCTAGCTGAAATGCTGCTGTGTGGCCACTTTCACGTCCCTGCCTCCCACCCTAGGATCCAAGGAAACCCCCGGACCTTGTCACTGCCTGGACATCTGTAAATGAAGGCACCACCACAGCCGTGGAACAGAGTCCCGAGGGGCTGGGTGGGCCCCACAGCTCTCAGGAAGGTTGCATCGGGAGGAAGCAGGGTCCTGCCAGAGGGGATGTGATCGTGGTGGTCTTGTCTGTCTTTGGGGACTACGGGCACAACCGTGAGGCAGGACCAGTCGGCCCTGCCCACCACAAGCCCCAGCTGACTCCTTAGGATGAACATGAAAGAGAGTTCTTGCTAACAGAGCATTTTAATACGCCCCTTGAACCGGAAGCACGTGTGCAGGAGGAAGTCACAGAGGCCACACAGAGGAGTGGCAAGGACAGAGGACTTGGGATTAGAGGGCCAGCTCTGACCCTTCACTGCCGCGGTACTCTGGGCAAGTCACTTCACCTCTCTGAGCCTGTAAAGGGGGAACAGCAGCGTGCTTACCTTAGGGGCTACGTGGCCACTGTCCTTGCCACGGGGAATACACAGATTGCCTGAGCGCAAGTCTGGGCTAAATCAGCACTTTTCAGACATCCCTTCAGCCCCTCTACAGACGGAGCCGCTGAGATTCAGAGAAGTGACGTGACCTGCCAGAAGTCTGCTATTCAGTCCTGGTGGGGACATGAGGTTTAAATCCAAACCACAGAACGGGCTCTAATGACACTGGACAGTATGTCAGCAGTGGTGGCACGAAAGTGCTTGTCCATTCCTGTAGCAAAGGCTTCCACTGTCAATCTCACTGAATCAGGCGAGAAGGGCCATTCCAACTCTGGAATCATCATTTCCCATCTCCTGCTACTGGTAACAACTACTGGGGAGGGCGGTGGGGTTTAGGGCTGCGACGGGCCCGGAGGAGAGAGCCCTCACTGACTGGACGAGGCCATTAGGACTCAGTGGTTCTCTGCAGGGACCCTCCACCCCAGGGCTTCAGAAAGCAGCTCTCCTTTCTCTGGGCCACTAAATGATTCATCACCATGCACCACAGCACAGCAGAAAAATGGTCTGGCCTGCTGGCTTAACAGCCCCCTGCTTACTTTCTTCTCTTCTGCCTTCCCCTTCATCATGCCCCGGCCTTCCAGTGCCCCCCACCCCATTCCTGCCTACTGCCCCCAAACCAGCTTGGTTGGCAGAGATGATCAATACCGTCCCAGAGAGAGTGATCAGGGGGCTCTTGGGGATGGAGCTAGGCCCCACGTGCTCTGGCTGAGGGCTTGCTCTTTGTCCCTACCGACCACCCAACGAGGCAGGTCAAGGCTGCAAAAAGGGCTCAGCGCCCCTCTCCCCCGACTTCAGGACGCTGGAGGCTGGCACTCGGGTGGGCAAGGCAAACACAAGCTGGTCTGCCAATTCCACCCAGCCGGTTGGCCCAGAAATCCGACACCAGCACGTGAAAGGCAATGAGAGTCTAACTGTGCTTCTTGAGCAAGAATTTGCTGAATATGCTCATGCATTTTCATCTACCCTTTCCTGAGGGTTGGCCGTGTGGAAGGACATCTGCCTCCCCAGTCAACGTGCCTTGTGAACGTCAGAGGTCACTTGCTGGAGGTCTGTGGCCATGTGGTCAGGACGTCCCAGCCCCACAGCCGGAGCTGTGCCATGGCGCTACGTGGGGTCCAGACCGAGGGACGCCACCCCTAGAGCTAGCTAAGAGAGGTCTTTGGTGAATGAATGGACTGGGGGGAATGCACAGCCGTGGCCGGGGTTTTAGGTGTCTGTGGGGTCAGCTCCATGAGTCACAGCTCAGATGGCAGGCAGCCAAAGGGGACAAAGGCTGGCATTTCCAGAGCAGGGCTCAGGAATGGCGGGTGTCTCCTGCGCTCCAGCCAGGTATTCTGGCCAAGGCGTGGTCACCAGGGACGTACCAGGCTCGCTCCCTCTCTGGTAACACCCAAGGTCACAGGGGTCGAACCCACCTTTGTTTCATTCCGCGGTGGATTCGAACATGTGCATGATTGTGGAAAGAAGGAAACGCTGAGCAAACCTAACCAGGGAGCTTGCCCCGGCCACGGGGAAGCGGCCACAGTCCAGCGGGACTCCTTCCAGGAGAACATGACACGGCCCAGTTTTTCTGGTGGCAAGAACTAGCAGGGTTGAGAAGGAAACGGCAGGTCGTAAGGAGGGCCTGTGGGGGCGTGGTTTACACTCACACAGGCACCACGCAGGTGCACGACAGCCTTTTGTGCACAGAAGGCAAAGCCTAGCTCTTCTGCCCCCCATCCCGCTGCCCTTGCCACTGAACACACCTGCCTGGAATTCTACCTCAGTCCAGACTCCCTTCCTGCCGGGTCACTCTGAGGCTTTTGAAAAAGAGCCAAAGAAAACCTTTGAAGAAAGCACAGTACTGTTCCCCATGGCCCCAGTCTCCATCCCAAAGCTGGGCATAGGGGGGCTCCTGCATGGCTCGCTCCCACCCAGCCTGTCTGACCTCGGCCCCCCACCCTGGACTCAGCCACGTCTGGGGGCTCAGGGGGAAGTCTCCTCTGCTCCATCCTAGCGGCCCTGGCAGCCCGCACGCTGGGATCTGAGTGGGCCCTGGGGTCCTGCATGGCGACCTTACTGAGACCACTCAGATGGCCACCTCACCCCCTCGATTAATCAGAGTGCCCTTTGTCTGAATACCCTTTACCTGCCCATAGTCTCCACATGCTACTTCTCATCCTCCAGAGAGCCCCCAGGCACAAACTGTCACCCTTGTGCGAGGCTCATTGTTTCGGGGTCCCAGCCAAGATCACTCAGCAGATGGGGCCAACAGTGCTGAGTCCGGGGGTGCTTGCTTCCGAAGCCTGATGGTTTCCCACTGTTTTCTGAGGGCCCAGGTTTTAGGGATCCTTTCTTAGACTGTCCAGCCCTGGTTTCATCCCAGGGGACTAGCTACCACCTCTCTCCCTGCCAAGCAGCCACAGAAAATACCACTTTAATCTTTCAGTGGTCCTGAAGTAAGCGCTACCTCCCCATTTTACAGATAAGGAAACTGAGGCACAGAGAGACTCTGTTCCTTGCCCAGAGTCCCAGAGCTGACCACGGATCCAGGCCCCCTCTTCTGGCACCTCTGCCCTGTCCTGCCTCTGCTCTGTAAACACTCACAGTGTCAACTGCTCGAATCTAGCTGTCTCTCAAAGTGGCGAAGCCCTCTGTCCACGTCCCATCTTGCTCAGGATCCCCACATGGGGCAGGGGAAGCAGAGGGCTCTGGGGAAAGCGGGGCTGGAGAGCCCAGGAGGCTGCCCTGTGGTTTGTCTACAGAACAGCACGAGGCCCCCCGCTCCAGCCCTGACTGGGCTCCTCCATGTCGGCTTTTTCATCCTCTGTTCCGAAGCCAAGGCAGCTGGAGCTGAGAGTTTCCTGAAGCCGACCCTACCCGGACTCTGGGCATGCCCCCTAATCTGGGATGCTAACTGGGGGTACCCACCCATTATCATGACTCACTAGGCACAAGGCATTTGGGGGAACAAACGTCCCCGTGTGCTGAGCTGTGGCAAAGCCCCCCTCACGGGTGAGTAAGCACTCGTGTCCGGCTCCGTGCACATAAACGCTTCACGACACGTGTTCTCAGCGGACCCTCCAAGTAACTCCATGGGAAGGAGCTCTTTACCTCTCCTCTCTAAGTGAGGACATGGAGATGCAGGGAGGCAAAGTGACTTGCCCCAGCTGACACAGCCAGCAGCCGCTGGGGCCAGGACGCAAACACGGCCAAGCTGACTCCAACCCCATTCTTAGGGCCACTGTCGCGCACAGTACTGACTGCCCTCGAACCTGAATGAACTCGGCACTAACACCACGCGTGTGTGCCCCCTCGACTCGGGAGGCACAAGGGCATGTTGTGCAGCAGCCCGGGCATCAGGATGAACCTGTGACAGTTACAACAGCCTCCGGGCTCTCAAGCTGTGCTGCCTGATATGGTAGCCACCAGCCACGGGTGCCTCGCTAAGTGTAGACGGAGGCCGAACTCTGTCCCCCGCCGGCCCCAGCTGCGTTTCAAGCGCTCAGCAGTCACAAGGTGCTAGTGGCTACTTACTGGGGTGGTGCAGATAGAGGCCATTCCCACCACTGCAGAGAGCTCCCCTGGACAGACTTTCTGTCGGATCCTACTGCTTACAAGTTCCTTTTCTGACTCAATCTCTGCGGTCAAAACTCTGCACATAATGCATTGACCTTTGACAGACGTGCCCTGTGGGGCTCAGACAGGCATGATTCTGGTGGCCCAGGATGGCCGTGTCTGGCAGGCTATGCCCTGAGCCCCCGCCCCCACGACCTACCTAAGTGGCACCGGATGCGGATGTTGGTGGGGCCATAGTGCTCCGTGATCACAGTCCCTGGGCTCAGCACGGAGATGCACGCGTTCCCAAAAACATTGTTCCCAATACAGGTCCGAAGGCTTCCAAGCAAGCGGTACGTCCGTGGGCACTTCCTGCAGTTCCTGGGAACGCAAACCCCCTGATTGACCAAGTAAAAGGTGACCCACTCCCCGCTGGGAGTGCTGTTCATTTTCCATCCTTGCGGGAGGCTGCAGTTTGAGAAGGCTTTGTACAGGGTCTCAAACTCGCACAGGATGGTCTGGAAGTTGCGCTCCAGCAGCTCCACGTCATGCTTCTGGGCGTCCCGTGGGAAGTAGGGTGTGGTGGGGAGGTCAGGCAGGAAGAAGACCTCGGGCTTCTGGATGGAGGGCCGGCTGCTGAGGTAGCGGCCCTGCTCGCGGATGCCCTTGTGGATGCGGCCCATGCCGGACCAGGAGTAGCGCTTGGCGTACTCCTGCAGGTTGTAGTAGAGCTTCTGGTTGAGGCCCTCGTTGTGGGCGCAGCGCACGCACTCAGGGGACTGGCAGTATGCGTAGCCGTTCTGCAGCCCGGAGGCATCTGTGCCCTGCATCAGGGAGTTGACGGTTGCGTAGGGCCGGGGAGGCTCGCGCCCCACGTGGTAACAGTACCACACGAACAGGACCAGCAGGCAGGCCACGCTGACCACAGCCGTGGTGTCGCAGTCTCGTACCGACTGGATGCCCGTGGCGATGCAGTCCCGCAGGCCGTCCAGCGACCAGTTCCAGGCCACCAGCCACTCGAGCGACATCTTGTGGGGGATGACGTTGGGGGCAGGGGGCGGGGTGAAGCAAGGTCAGACAGTCAGTCCTCAGGGGTCCCAAGGGCACCCGCACCCTGCAGCTTAACATTAGGGGGAAGGGGTGGCTGGGGCCAGAGGAGGCACAGCTGCCACCACGGTTCCTCGGATCCCGCCAAGCGTGGCATTGACCCACGTCTAGGCTCACCACTCCGCTCCCCACAAAAAAGTCACTGCAAGCTGGGTGGAAGGAGCTGCTTTCGGTCACGCCAGCAAGTGGGGTCAGTCACCGTGAAACGATTTTCGAACCTGACATGAGAAAAGAAAAGTAAACCAGCATAAATTTTTATACCTGGATATATCCTCAACTGAAATGTAAAATCCCAGATCCTTCTGGAACGTCCTTGTGGGTAGGGGACACAGTTCTCAATCTTGTGTGTTCTCTCCCCATTTTGCCACACCCCCCGCCCTCCATTTCCCAAGAGGCCAGTGGTGCATAATTTGCAACCAGTACTAACAATTACACAAGGCCCATCTATTCTGTGTCATTCATAGGGGGTGTGATCAGCCCCATTTTACAGGTGGGGAAACTGAGGTCCCGAGAGGTTATATACCTCACCCAAGTTCACGTGACCAGGGCAGGGACACACACCCCAGCAGGCTGCATGATGATGTCTAGTCATGGTAGGCATTTCATAAATACTTGTTCTCCTTAAGTCTCTGTACCTTTACAGAGAGATCTGGATTCAGAAGCATCTTAAAAATGGCAAAGGAAGGGGGTGCCTGGGTTGCTCAGTCATTAAGCAGCTGCCCTCAGCTCAGGTCATGATCCCTGGGTCCTGGGATCCAGCCCGCATCAGGCTCACTGCTCAGTGGGAGGCCTGTTTCTCCCTCTCTCACTCCCTCTGCTTGTGTTCCCTCTCTTGCTGCCTCTGTCAAATAAATAAAATCTTTTATTAAAAAAAAATTGGCAAAGGAGGGGCACATGGCTGGCTTAGTCAGTGGGGCGTGCAACCCTCGATCGCGGGGTCAGGAGCTCGAGCCCCATGTTGAACACAGAGAGGACTTAAAATAAATAAAAGATTCCTAAAAATGGCAAAGGAACCACAAAACTGCACCGTCCCCATTTTACCTTCTCTCTTATGGTGCTTCATCATTCTTGCTTAATCTCTCTTGCCCTGCTGACAAAGGCTGGGTTGCACTCAAGCTGGAAGGGGAGGTAGGCTCTTGGGTCATGGGTCGCCCCCACAACTGACACTGGGTCTTTCTGTCTAGTCAGTCCAGAGACTACTCACTGGTCTCACCCGCAGGTTAGGAGAGGAAGTGATGGGGAAGAATGGAAACAGAAGCCTCTCAGGTCTCTTTGTCTCCGAAACAGACAGGAGCACTCTGCCAAGTAGCCCGCCACTGGTTGGGGCCAACGTCTGGCATGCCGTTTACCCTAATAACCTAAAAGTAAGATCAGAGCTCAGCAGTCACGGTGCCCATGTCTACAAAAGCCTGGCCGTGTTTCCCAGCTGAGAGACGCTGTGTCCAGCCTGCTTTTCCCAGAACAGCCAGATCTACAATCTCCCACACGCCTAATACATTCATTCCCTCAGTGCAAGGGGCTGAGTAATTCACAAAAGTCGTTTTGTGTACTACCTTCTCTCTTGGGAACTGAAGGCAACTGAAAAACCGGGGAAGCTGTCCCCTCTCCTTTCTCTGGGGACTACACTTGGCTGGAAAATTCTTGAGAGATGGCAGAGAGGCCAAGAACCCAGACTGGAGGTGGGCTGGACTGTGGGCGGGACACTTCCCTCTCGGTTCCTTCATCTCTAAGACCGGGCCATGCTCATCTCCTGGGATGGAGGAAAGTGACGACAGATATAAAACACTTAGGATGTCACAACGAACATTTAATATGTGCTTAGACATGTGGCAGCCCGTGTTGGTCAACCAGCAAAGCCAAGCCAGGGCATTGGGGACAGGTATCTCGGGATGAGGGACCCTAAAAGCAAATTCTGGACACTCTTGTCACCACGTATCTAAGCTGACTTTTATTTGTCCCCAGGCTGGCAAGGCTAAAAATGAAAGAGAAACCTTAGGTGCTCATTCACTGCATGCTTGCGTCTTCCCAGCTCAGGTTGAATTAAGAATCATTTGACTATCATGTTTAGCAAGTCAAAAACGCACATGCTAAATATTCATGGCCGTTTTTATGTTTCTAGGAAAAATACAAGAGTGGGGAGGCTAGCAGCTCAATTTTTTTTTCTCACACGTTCTCAATTTCTTCACAGATCTGGGCCCCACTGCATGGAAACAGACCATTTGGTGCCCCTGGTTCTCTCCTAGCCATACCGTAACTGGCACATGTTCCCTTGAAAGGGGAAGGAAAAGAAAATCTGGGATGATTCTCCCGCGTTTTGTTTGCAAGCCTGTCTCCCAACCAGAACCCCAGGATTCCTGAAATTCAGTGTGAAACTGTCATCTGCGTGAAAAACAAGCACTTTTACTAAAAGGATTTCCCCCTCCTTGAGCTCAACTTCTAATTGGAACTTTTAAACTCAGTCTCTCAGGAGAAGAGGTTTCTCTTCGTTGAGAAGTGAGATGGTGATAATTTAGCAAACACCTGTTAAGTGTCAGTCCCCATCAGCCCTGCTAATTGCTTAACTCCAGCACAATGAAAACCTGGAACACAGGGTGGATGAAGAACAGATCTCTTCACTGGACACCCCTGGGGCTCACCAGCCTCCCGGGGTAAACCTCGTTCTAGACAAGGCCAGCCATGAGCGCTCCCTACACTGAACTATAAACAAAAGGCAGCAAAAGATCCTGATGCCCTGAGCCCAGCTTCGGATCCTGTTCTCATAACCAGCACGGAGAGCCAAAGTTAGGACTTTTCTTACCTGCCGCTTCCTCTTAGTCAAAAGACACTGGCAGGCCCCTAAGCCCAGAGGTGGGTTTAAAAGCTCACGGCTGAAATGTGACACTAAAAAATCCTTTACATTTGCAGGGTGACTGGCAGCTTATTAAGTACCGGTTCCAACATTTGACCCTCAGGGCACCCAGTGACAACCACGAAGGCGCCAGTGGAAAGGGCATGGATTCTCTCCCCCTCTCCAGTTCTTGGCTCAGGGACCACAGTAATGTCCGGTTTCCTTCACACATCTCATCATTTGCATCTGTTTCATGTCTGTCCTCCTTAGGGACAGGGACCTGTCACTGCAGTTCTGCCCTTTAATAACTCCAATCGTAAAGGTCAGTCAGCCCTGGAGAATGCATGGCCAATTGGTCAGCAAGTCCAATGAAATAGACCTTCTGATACGATGAACATCTGGGGGACAGACTCAGCTCTAACTTGGCTAATGGGGTTCACCTTACAATCCAAGAAGCTGCCCAGTGCTAAAGAGCTTTTGGTCATTCCCAGGGTGCGGCCAGGCTGCCCTAGAAGTACCCCCAAAGAGCAGGGCAAAGCAGGGCAAGGAGTGTGATGCAGGTCACCCTCCCCACCCAGGACCCTGGGAACTGTCTTGGGACCAGCCCTCCCCCTTGGGCAACTGGAGACCTCTCCTCCTCACTTTCTGGGCCAGCTTTTTCAGCATCCGCCCACTCTGGAGAGTGGGGGAAAGGTGGAGGCAGCGGATGGGTTAACACAGATGGTGACCACCAGGAGGTCAGGGGAGAAGGGGGATGGGACCACGGAAAGGTGCATATTGACAGGAAAAGTGGGCAATCGGCTGAAGACTGGGGAAGGTGGCTTATGGTTGACAGCTCATGGGACAGGGGAGGAGGGTCACCACGAGAAATATGGGAAGTGGGTGACGCTCAGGGCTGGGGGGAAGGGGAGAGAAGGGAAGGAAAGGGAGCGGGGAGGAGGGTCATGGGGGGCCACGGTGGGCACCGCGATGGGGCAGGGGCTACGAGGAGGGTGCTGCCCTGCCCGCCGCCAACACAGCCCCGGCGGCGCTATGCACGTAGCGAGTGCCGGGCGGCGGGGCCCCTCGGCCGGGCCGGGATGCGGGGCGCGGGGCGCGGGCGGGCGCCGGCGTTCCCAAGCATCCCCAGCGGCCGCGCCGCCGCCAGCCGTGGGGACCGCGGGCCTGCAGCCGTCCGGCCCCCGCCTCCTCCCCCTCTCCAGGGGGGTGGGGTGGTGGCAGCCCGGCCGCGCCGTCTTCCCCCAACCCCCCGCGCCCGGCAGCCCCCCGGAGACGCCGCTTACCTGCGCCCGGGCGCGCGGGCGGCGGGGGCGGATGCTGGGGCCGAGGGGACGCCGCCACCCGAGGCGCGGACGCGCAGACGCCCCCTGCCCGCGTCGCGGGGCCACCGCCCGGCCCACGCCGCGGGAGCCCGAGCCAGAGCCGAGCCGGTGCCCCCACCGGTGCCGACGCCGCTCTGCGCTCCGCGGGGCCGCGCGGACCACAACTCCCACAATGCCGCGCGCGGCTGGCCGGCAGGAGGAGGGGGCGCGGGCGGCGGGCGGGGCGGGGCTGGCGTGGGGGCGGGGCGGGGCGGGGCTCGGACCCCGGCGCGCAGTGCGCGGGGCGGCTGGGGAGGCTTAATGGGAGCCGCGGTGGCGGGGACCCCGGGACTCACTGCCCGGCCGGGCCGGGGGCGGAGCGCGCGGGCGGAGCGCGCGGGTGGGCGGGCGGGCGGGCGTTCATTCATTCGCTCTGCGTTCCTCCCTCTGTGCCCCTCTGCTCCCCCGTCCCCGGTCTCTGTCCCTGCTCCGGCTCTCCCTCCTACAACTTCCTCCTTCCATTCTCTTTCACTTTCCTTCCCTCTTCTTTCCTCCCTCACTTCCTCGGGCCCTGAAAGCCCTCTTCCCTTTATTTATTGATTCACCGCGCACTTAAATGGCCGCTCCGGCACTTGGAATGAAACTGTAAATCAGACAGGATCCCTAATGTCACGAAAAATTCCTTGGTTCAGTAGGAGCGACTGTTGGGCAGCCTCCCTGTGCCTGGCCGTGTGCTCTTTGGGGAGCGGGGCACACGCGGGCCCTGCCCACAGGGAGCCACAGTCTGGCCAGGAGTCGAGGGTGCCCA